TGTTAGGGTGACATATGGTGGTGTTAGGGTGACATGTGGGAGTGTTAGGGTGATATGTGGTGTTAGGTGACATGGTGGTGTTAGGGTGACATGTGGGTGTGTTAGGGTGACATGTGGGGGTGTTAGGGTGACATATGGTGGTGTTAGGGTGACATGGGGGTGTTAGGGTGACATATGGTGGTGTTAGGGTGACGTGAGGTGTTAGGGTGACATGTGGTGGTGTTAGGGTGACATGTGGTGTTGTTAGGGTGACATGTGGTGGTGTTAGGGTGACATGTGGGGGTGTTAGGGTGACATATGGTGGTGTTAGGGTGACATGTGGGTGTGTTAGGGTGACATGTGGTGGTGTTAGGGTGACATGTGGGGGTGTTAGGGTGACATGTGGGGGTGTTAGGGTGACATGTGGGGTTGTTAGGGTGACATGTGGTGGTGTTAGGGTGACATATGGTGGTGTTAGGGTGACGTGAGGTGTTAGGGTGACATATGGTGGTGTTAGGGTGACATATGGTGGTGTTAGGGTGACATATGGTGGTGTTAGGTTGACATGTGGTGGTGTTAGGGTGACATGTGGTGGTGTTAGGGTGACATGTGGGGGTGTTAGGGTGACATGTGGGGGTGTTAGGGTGACATGTGGTGGTGTTAGGGTGACATATGGTGGTGTTAGGGTGACATATGGTGGTGTTAGGTTGACATGTGGTGGTGTTAGGGTGACATGTGGTGGTGTTAGGGTGACATGTGGTGGTGTTAGGGTGACATGTGGGGGTGTTAGGGTGACATGTGGTGGTGTTAGGTTGACATGTGGTGGTGTTAGGGTGACATGTGGTGGTGTTAGGGTGACATGTGGGGGTGTTAGGGTGACATGGTGGTGTTAGGGTGACATGTGGGGGTGTTAGGGTGACATATGGTGTTAGGGTGACATGTGGTGGTGTTAGGGTGACATGTGGGGTTGTTAGGGTGACATGTGGTGGTGTTAGGGTGACATATGGTGGTGTTAGGTTGACATGTGGTGGTGTTAGGGTGACATGTGGTGGTGTTAGGGTGACATGTGGGGGTGTTAGGGTGACATGGTGGTGTTAGGGTGACATGTGGGGGTGTTAGGGTGACATATGGTGTTAGGGTGACATGTGGTGGTGTTAGGGTGACATGTGGGGTTGTTAGGGTGACATGTGGTGGTGTTAGGGTGACATATGGTGGTGTTAGGGTGACGTGAGGTGTTAGGGTGACATATGGTGGTGTTAGGGTGACATATGGTGGTGTTAGGTTGACATGTGGTGGTGTTAGGGTGATGTGGTGGTGTTAGGGTGACATTTGGTGGTGTTAGGGTGACTTGGGGGTGTTAGGGTGACATTTGGTGGTGTTAGGGTGACTTGGGGGTGTTAGGGTGACTTGGGGGTGTTAGGGTGACATATGGTGGTGTTAGGGTGACGTGAGGTGTTAGGGTGACATATGGTGGTGTTAGGGTGACATATGGTGGTGTTAGGTTGACATGTGGTGGTGTTAGGGTTACATGTGGGGGTGTTAGGGTGACATGTGGGGGTGTTAGGGTGACATGTGGTTGTGTTAGGGTGACATATGGTGGTGTTAGGGTGACATATGGTGGTGTTAGGGTGACATATGGTGGTGTTAGGTTGACATGTGGTGGTGTTAGGGTGACATGTGGTGGTGTTAGGGTGACATGTGGTGGTGTTAGGGTGACATGTGGGGGTGTTAGGGTGACATGTGGTGGTGTTAGGGTGACATATGGTGGTGTTAGGGTGACGTGAGGTGTTAGGGTGACATATGGTGGTGTTAGGGTGACATATGGTGGTGTTAGGGTGACATATGGTGGTGTTAGGTTGACATGTGGTGGTGTTAGGGTGACATGTGGTGGTGTTAGGGTGACATGTGGGGGTGTTAGGGTGACATGGTGGTGTTAGGGTGACATGTGGGGGTGTTAGGGTGACATATGGTGTTAGGGTGACATGTGGTGGTGTTAGGGTGACATGTGGGGTTGTTAGGGTGACATGTGGTGGTGTTAGGGTGACATATGGTGGTGTTAGGGTGACGTGAGGTGTTAGGGTGACATATGGTGGTGTTAGGGTGACATATGGTGGTGTTAGGTTGACATGTGGTGGTGTTAGGGTGATGTGGTGGTGTTAGGGTGACATTTGGTGGTGTTAGGGTGACTTGGGGGTGTTAGGGTGACTTGGGGGTGTTAGGGTGACATATGGTGGTGTTAGGGTGACGTGAGGTGTTAGGGTGACATATGGTGGTGTTAGGGTGACATATGGTGGTGTTAGGTTGACATGTGGTGGTGTTAGGGTTACATGTGGGGGTGTTAGGGTGACATGTGGGGGTGTTAGGGTGACATGTGGTTGTGTTAGGGTGACATATGGTGGTGTTAGGGTGACATATGGTGGTGTTAGGGTGACATGTGGTGGTGTTAGGTTGACATGTGGTGGTGTTAGGGTGACATGTGGTGGTGTTAGGGTGACATGTGGGGGTGTTAGGGTGACATGTGGTGGTGTTAGGGTGACATATGGTGGTGTTAGGGTGACGTGAGGTGTTAGGGTGACATATGGTGGTGTTAGGGTGACATATGGTGGTGTTAGGGTGTAATATGGTGGTGTTAGGTTGACATGTGGTGGTGTTAGGGTGACATGTGGTGGTGTTAGGGTGACATGTGGGGGTGTTAGGGTGACATATGGTGGTGTTAGGGTGACATGTGGTGGTGTTAGGGTGACATGTGGTGGTGTTAGGGTGACATGTGGTGGTGTTAGGGTGACATGTGGTGGTGTTAGGGTGACATGTTGGTGGTGTTAGGGTGACATGGTGGTGTTAGGGTGACAAATGGTGGTGTTAGGGTGACATGTGGGGGTGTAAGGGTGATGTGGTGGTGTTAGGGTGACATTTGGTGGTGTTAGGGTGACTTGGGGGTGTTAGGGTGACTTGGGGGTGTTAGGGTGACATGTGGTGGTGTTAGGGTGACATGGGGGAGTTTTAGGGTGATATGTGGTGTTAGGGTGACATGGGGGTGTTAGGGTGACATGGGGGTGTTAGGGTGACATATGGTGGTGTTAGGGTGACATGTGGTGGTGTTAGGGTGACATGTGGTGGTGTTAGGGTGACATGTTGGTTGTGTTAGGGTGACATGGTGGTGTTAGGGTGACAAATGGTGGTGTTAGGGTGACATGTGGGGGTGTTAGGGTGACATATGGTGGTGTTAGGGTGACATATGGTGGTGTTAGGGTGACATATGGTGGTGTTAGGTTGACATGTGGTGGTGTTAGGGTGACATGTGGTGGTGTTAGGGTGACATGTGGTGGTGTTAGGGTGACATGTGGGGGTGTTAGGGTGACATGTGGTGGTGTTAGGGTGACATATGGTGGTGTTAGGGTGACGTGAGGTGTTAGGGTGACATATGGTGGTGTTAGGGTGACATATGGTGGTGTTAGGGTGACATATGGTGGTGTTAGGTTGACATGTGGTGGTGTTAGGGTGACATGTGGTGGTGTTAGGGTGACATGTGGGGGTGTTAGGGTGACATGGTGGTGTTAGGGTGACATGTGGGGGTGTTAGGGTGACATATGGTGTTAGGGTGACATGTGGTGGTGTTAGGGTGACATGTGGGGTTGTTAGGGTGACATGTGGTGGTGTTAGGGTGACATATGGTGGTGTTAGGGTGACGTGAGGTGTTAGGGTGACATATGGTGGTGTTAGGGTGACATACGGTGGTGTTAGGTTGACATGTGGTGGTGTTAGGGTGATGTGGTGGTGTTAGGGTGACATTTGGTGGTGTTAGGGTGACTTGGGGGTGTTAGGGTGACTTGGGGGTGTTAGGGTGACATATGGTGGTGTTAGGGTGACGTGAGGTGTTAGGGTGACATATGGTGGTGTTAGGGTGACATATGGTGGTGTTAGGTTGACATGTGGTGGTGTTAGGGTTACATGTGGGGGTGTTAGGGTGACATGTGGGGGTGTTAGGGTGACATGTGGTTGTGTTAGGGTGACATATGGTGGTGTTAGGGTGACATATGGTGGTGTTAGGGTGACATATGGTGGTGTTAGGTTGACATGTGGTGGTTTTAGGGTGACATGTGGTGGTGTTAGGGTGACATGTGGTGGTGTTAGGGTGACATGTGGGGGTGTTAGGGTGACATGTGGTGGTGTTAGGGTGACATATGGTGGTGTTAGGGTGACGTGAGGTGTTAGGGTGACATATGGTGGTGTTAGGGTGACATATGGTGGTGTTAGGGTGACATATGGTGGTGTTAGGTTGACATGTGGTGGTGTTAGGGTGACATGTGGTGGTGTTAGGGTGACATGTGGGGGTGTTAGGGTGACATATGGTGGTGTTAGGGTGACATGTGGTGGTGTTAGGGTGACATGTGGTGGTGTTAGGGTGACATGTGGTGGTGTTAGGGTGACATGTGGTGGTGTTAGGGTGACATGTTGGTGGTGTTAGGGTGACATGGTGGTGTTAGGGTGACAAATGGTGGTGTTAGGGTGACATGTGGGGGTGTTAGGGTGATGTGGTGGTGTTAGGGTGACATTTGGTGGTGTTAGGGTGACTTGGGGGTGTTAGGGTGACTTGGGGGTGTTAGGGTGACATGTGGTGGTGTTAGGGTGACATGGGGGAGTTTTAGGGTGATATGTGGTGTTAGGGTGACATGGGGGTGTTAGGGTGACATGGGGGTGTTAGGGTGACATATGGTGGTGTTAGGGTGACATGTGGTGGTGTTAGGGTGACATGTGGTGGTGTTAGGGTGACATGTTGGTTGTGTTAGGGTGACATGGTGGTGTTAGGGTGACAAATGGTGGTGTTAGGGTGACATGTGGGGGTGTTAGGGTGACAAATGGTGGTGTTAGGGTGACATGTGGGGGTGTTAGGGTGATGTGGTGTTAGGGTGATATGTGGTGGTGTTAGGGTGACATGGGGGTGTTAGGGTGACTTGGTGTGAGGGTGACAAGATAAATGGTAGCATTTTAGAAGTATGGAGTGATTAGAAATAAGATGACACCTTGGGGTCCATTTGACAAAGTTTAGTCACACTGGTGCCAAAAATCTTTTCAAACTCTGATTTAAAGTTCTGTGGGGAGAAAATGTTACAATCATCAAATGTAAATTTTATTTTATGTTTGCTTTAATAGTCTTTTGGTTGATACAGAAAAAAGTGCTAACAAAATTGATTATGTCAAGGTTGTAGTCCCCCACCCCCAACAAAATACCAACAGTTATACTACAAAATACCAACACTTATACAACAATATACCAACACTTATACAACAAATAGAATCCCATCCTTACAGTAGCAAATCTCTTCCTGTACTCCCCCATACCAACAGCTGTGGAGCTGTAGGAGCTGGAGGTGGCAGCTGGGACGTCTAGCAAATCTTGACACAGCTCTTTATATTTCTTCTCTAGCTCTTTCCTGCTGCTCTGGTGGGTCAGCAGCTGTTTCACATCTTTACACCAATCCTAGGGGAATTCAAAGGGAATGATCACATTTTTGTGTTTCACATCTTTACACCAATCCTAGGGGAATTCAAAGGGAATGATCACATTTTTGTGTTTCACATCTTTACACCAATCCTAGGGGAATTCAAAGGGAATGATCACATTTTTGTGTTTCACATCTTTACACCAATCCTAGGGGAATTCAAAGGGAATGATCACATTTTTGTGTCTCACATCTTTACACCAATCCTAGGGGAATTCAAAGGGAATGATCACATTTTTGTGTTTCACATCTTTACACCAATCCTAGGGGAATTCAAAGGGAATGATCACATTTTTGTGTTTCACATCTTTACACCAATCCTAGGGGAATTCAAAGGGAATGATCACATTTTTGTGTTTCACATCTTTACACCAATCCTAGGGGAATTCAAAGGGAATGATCACATTTTTGTGTTTCACATCTTTACACCAATCCTAGGGGAATTCAAAGGGAATGATCACATTTTTGTGTTTCACATCTTTACACCAATCCTAGGGGAATTCAAAGGGAATGATCACATTTTTGTGTTTCACATCTTTACACCAATCCTAAGTGAAACAATGAAAGGGAATGATCAAATATTGTCTGTTTCACAAGTTCCTTACCCCAAAAATCACATCAGGTTGACCAAACTGCTCTAGAGCCTGGATAAACTTGTTGACCAACGGATTGTCTGTCAGAGTAACCAGTCTGGCCACAGAAAACAAATTAAATCAGCTGTTTATAAATGGTAAAGTAACAGATGAAATCAAACTGGTTTATATAAAACTACAGGCTTAAACCATTTCAGTCATTTAAAAGGCAAGAATAATCTTACTTATCAATAATTTCTTTCTTTCCTTTATCTTGTGGTGCGGATGTTAAAACAAATCCTTCACAGCTCATACGCAGGGGGTAAATTAAAGCCTGTTCATGAGTTTCAAAAGTTGTTTGGATTTTTACATTTGACAGAGATAGTAACTACATGATATGATGCTAGAAAAACAAACTATACAAAAAGCTGTAGAAAAATGAATTATACAAAAAGCAGTCTGTAGAACAACAAACTATACAAGAAGCAGTCTGTAGAACAACAAACTATACAAGAAGCAGTCTGTAGAACAACGTAGAACAACAAGCTATACAAGAAGCAGTCTGTAGAACAACAAACTATACAAGAAGCAGTCTGTAGAACAACAAACTATACAAAAAGCAGTCTGTAGAACAACGTAGAACAACAAACTATACAAGAAGAAGATGGAAGATTGTGATGACCTGAGGGTATTCCGTGGCTATGCGCATCAAGAGGGGGGCCACGATGCACGCCACGTCCTTGTCCAGCAGGGCGGTCATCTGACTGATCCACATCAAGAACATCCAGCATGGGACCTCTGACACCTGCAGACAGGGGTCAGTTCATTTTTTACACAACGTCCATCCCCCCTCCCTTATCCTTAGCAATCTTGTGGACATCTACTAATGAATTCTCTTCAACCTTACAACTAATGTAATTAAAAGTATGGTGTAGGCCTACACATCAAGCCTAATAACATCAGCACTATTTTTTACATTGATTATTTTGTAAGCAGGATAAATGACATTTTATGTTTTTGTAAGCTCTAAGAATATTGATGTTAAATTTAAACAGATGTACAGTTTTGTAGTGAAACTTTAAAGAACCAGCATTACATACTTTTTTAAGGAAAACACCTCGGACTTGTGGGAAATTTTCAGCTATCTGCAGCAGACGTGGGAATCTCTCCCTGGCCTCCTCCCCGCCCCCTCGCATGGCGTTCAGTAAACAAACAACCACAGTCTCAGGGAAGGCATCAACATCACAGCTCTCTGGGAATTGTTCTATAGATCAAACAATAGGGGCATAATGTTCTGGGCATCAACATCACAGCTCTCTGGGAATTGTTCTATAGATCAAACAATAGGGGCATAATGTTCTGGGCATCAACATCACAGCTCTCTGGGAATTGTTCTATAGATCAAACAATAGGGGCATAATGTTCTGGGCATCAACATCACAGCTCTCTGGGAATTGTTCTATAGATCAAACAATAGGGGCATAATGTTCTGAGCATCAACGTCACAGCTCTCTGGGAATTGGTCTATACAACAATAGGGGCATAATGTTCTGGGCATCAACATCACAGCTCTCTGGGAATTGTTCTATAGATTAAAGCATAGTCGCTTTTTTTACTCAGCTACTTAAACCACTGACAGTAAAAAATTAATTATGACAAAGTATTTTTTTGAACATGAGCCATTGTTATTAAAAAAATTTAACTAATGAAACAGAAATGTCTATATTTAAAACAACTTACATAGAAATCTTAGAAGTTATGATTTGAATATCTTGCAGTTTTTATTTCAAAACGAGACTATTGATTGAGACTAGAATTGGCTTGTGTGCAAACACTAGTAAAAAAACTTTTTAAAACTACAGACAAAAGAAAACATTTACAGACCCTAATGCTGGAGTGTCAGATTATAATTTGAAAAGTCTGTTCCATTTCCTGTTTGACAGTGTACACAGACACAGTTCTGGTCAGACATTTGGTCAACTACTCACCCATGTCAACTACTCACCCATGTCAACTACTCACCCATGTCAACTACTCACCCATGTCAACTACTCACCCATGTCAACTACTCACCCATGTCAACTACTCACCCATGTCAACTACTCACCCATGTCAACTACTCACCCATCTCAACTACTCACCCATGTCCTCTTGGTCAACTACTTGGTCAACTACTTGGTCAACTACTCACCCATGTCCTCTTGGTCAACTACTCCCCCATGTCCTCTTGGTCAACTACTCACCCATGTCCTCTTGGTCAACTACTTGGTCAACTACTCACCCATGTCAACTACTCACCCATGTCAACTACTCACCCATGTCCTCTTGGTCAACTACTCACGCATGTCCTCTTGGTCAACTACTTGGTCAACTACTCACCCATGTCCTCTTGGTCAACTACTTGGTCAACTACTTGGTCAACTACTCACCCATGTCCTCTTGGTCAACTACTTGGTCAACTACTCACCCATGTCCTCTTGGTCAACTACTCACCCATGTCCTCTTGGTCAACTACTTGGTCAACTACTCACCCATGTCAACTACTCACCCATGTCCTCTTGGTCAACTACTCACCCATGTCAACTACTCACCCATGTCAACTACTCACCCATGTCCTCTTGGTCAACTACTCACCCATGTCAACTACTCACCCATGTCAACTACTCACCCATGTCAACTACTCACCCATGTCCTCTTGGTCAACTACTCACCCATGTCAACTACTCACCCATGTCAACTACTCACCCATGTCAACTACTCACCCATGTCAACTACTCACCCATGTCAACTACTCACCCATGTCAACTACTCACCCATGTCAACTACTCACCCATGTCAACTACTCACCCATGTCAACTACTCACCCATGTCAACTACTCACCCATGTCAACTACTCACCCATGTCAACTACTCACCCATGTCAACTACTCACCCATGTCAACTACTCACCCATGTCCTCTTGGTCAACTACTCGCCCATGTCCTCTTGGTCAACTACTCACCCATGTCCTCTTGGTCAACTACTCACCCATGTCCTCTTGGTCAACTACTCACCCATGTCAACTACTCACCCATGTCCTCTTGGTCAACTACTCACCCATGTCAACTACTCACCCATGTCAACTACTCACCCATGTCAACTACTCACCCATGTCAACTACTCACCCATGTCAACTACTCACCCATGTCAACTACTCACCCATGTCAACTACTCATCCATGTCCTCTTGGTCAACTACTCACCCATGTCCTCTTGCATGTGCAAGACTTGATCACAGAATTTAGCCAGTTCCAGATTTGCTTCCCCAGCTGTCATGGACTGCCTGGCTATCTGTGGGGCTGTAAGCTCACCATCCTGACTTACAGCTGACTTCATGGCTTCAAAGCCTTTACACAACAGTTGGCCCACAAGCTGCGGAAGAAAGTATGCTGGTTAGACTAACAACCAGCTGGCCAGACTATAACCACCTGATGGCCAGACTATAACCACCTAATGGCCAGACTATAACCACCTGATGGCCAGACTATAACCACCTGCCTGGTTTGAAACTAAAATTGAGAGAAACCAAAATCCAGCACCTGACTCCCTATGTCTGCAGTTCCAGCTAAAGTCGCCATTTTCTTCTTGGTGCCTTCACTCAGGGCAGACAACTCTGGCAGAGAAAAGAGACCTTGGACCAGGATGCTGTAACTCTTGCCAGACAAAATGTGGTGGCGCAGTCCCAGGTCTGGCCTTTCTTTCAGCACTGGCTCACTCTGGGTCTTGTCTGGAATCATTTGTAAGGATGGTAACACAACTTGTGTAAGGATGGTAACACAACTTGTGTAAGGATGGTAACACAACGTATGTAAGGATGGTAACTCAACTTATGTAAGGATGGTAACACAACTTATGTAAGGATGGTAACACAATGTATGTAAGGATGGTAACACAATGTATGTAAGGATGGTAACACAACTTATGTAAGGATGATAACACAACTTATGTAAGGATGGTAACACCACTTATGTAAGGATGGTAACACAACTTATGTAAGGATGATAACACAACTTATGTAAGGATGGTAACACAACTTATGAAAGGATTGTAACAAAACTTATGTAAGGATGGTAACGTAACACAACATGTAAGGATGGTAACACAACTTATGAAAGGATGGTAACACAACATGTAAGGATGGTAACACATTTTATGTATGGATGGTAACACAACGTATGTAAGGATGGTAACACAATGTATGTAAGGATGGTAACATAACTTATGTAAGGATGGTAACACAACGTATGTAAAGATGGTAACACAACATATGTAAGGATGGTAACTCAACTTATGTATGGATTGTAATACAACTTATGTAAGGATGGTAACACAACTTATGTAAGGATTGTAACAAAACTTATGTAAGGATGGTAAGGTAACAAAACTTATGTAAGGATGGTAAGGTAACACAACATGTAAGGATGGTAACACAACTTATGTAAGGATGGTAACACAACATGTAAGGATGGTAACACAAGTTATGTAAGGATGGTAACACAACTTATGTAAGGATGGTAACAACTTATGTATGGATGGTAACACAACTTATGTAAGGATGGTAACACAACATATGTAAGGGTGGTAACACAACGTATGTAAGGATGGTAACTCAACTTATGTATGGATGGTAACACAACTTATGTAAGGATGGTAACAAAACTTATGTAAGGATAGTAACACAACTTATGTAAGGATGGTAACAAAACTTATGTAAGGATGGTAACACAATGTATGTAAGGATGGTAACACAACTTATGTAAGGATGGTAACACAACTTATATAAGGATGGTAACACAACTTATGTAAGGATGGTAACACAATGTATGTAAGGATGGTAACACAATGTATGTAAGGATGGTAACACAACTAACTGAGGAGATCCAGCGTAGTGAGGACATCACTGAAGATGTTATCTGCCCATGGTTTGACAGAGTTACAGGCCTTGGTTTGGTGAGCTGTGGTGTACAGATGGGACCACTCAATCATCAGGGCTTTGTTGGAGGCTTTCTTGCACAGCTGGGGACAAGAGACACAGCTGGGGACATGAGACACAGCTGGGGACATGAGACACAGCTGGGGACATGAGACACAGCTGGGGACATGAGACACAGCTGAGGACATGAGATACAGCTGGGGACATGAGACACAGCTGGGGACATGAGATACAGCTGGGGACATGAGACACAGCTGGGGACATGAGACACAGCTGGGGACATGAGACACAGCTGGGGACATGAGACACAGCTGGGGACATGAGACACAGCTGGGGACATGAGACACAGCTGGGGACATGAGACACAGCTGGGGACTGACACACTTACCCCCTGTGTGTCCCGCAGGATCCTGAGGGTCAGGGTAGAGATCCCTTGTTCCCTACAACTGTCGGCCATCTTGAGACGTAGCCAGATTTTCATTTCTTCCATTTTTTCACTGAGGTTTTCTTCATTGTCTGTGTTGTTTAGATCTGAGAGCCCGTCAATCAGCTGGTTCAGGTACACAGTCCTGTAACAAGAGAGGTTCTCAACCTGTTGATAGCAGTACAGGGGCTCAAGACAATTGGCCTTGACCTTGAAAAGCCAGCATCTTACCTGTTGGTGACAACATCATCCCAGACCATGACAGGGTCCAGAATAGTGTGAGGAACTCTACTGCCCCAGGCTTTGATCAGGCTGGATGGAGTTTTACCTGCAAACATGGCACAGTTTTATATTTGCACTTCAGCTATGGGTAGGTTAAAAATATGGATGTAGGATTGTTTGAAATAAGGTTGTGAGTTCAACTAAAATGTATTGCAGTAATAGAAAAACAAACAAAAAACAAGCAAACATAAACTGATGTTGTTTTACACAGCACAAAAATCTTTGTGCCGTTATGGACAATTTTGTGACGTGGTCATTTTAAAAAACGAGGCACCAAACTATACATACATTCCCTCAAGTTCATTTCTGAAAGAAAGAAGAGCTAGTTAGTGAAAAAAAAGTTACCTTGTGAGCTGAGGTGATCGAGGAACTCGTCAAGTTCCAGCAGAGGTTGTAGCTTGTGCAGGTTGTTGGCTCTTGTGGGCAGCATCAGGGTGGTGGTGCTAGACCAGCTCTGTGGGCACAACAGTGGCTGGCTACATCAACTACCTACACACTATGGCTACAACAGCTACCCCCACACTATAGCTGCATCAGCCTATTACAACTACCTAAAACTAATTAGTAGCACGAGAAGTATATTCAGTAGCACTAACTTGAATGTAAATTTAGTACAAATATGTTGAAGCTGTGTACATTAATTTTTATATGTGAGCAAAAGAAAACTGTCATTAAGATGTCATCTCACCTGTAAAAAGCTGTCATATGCCATGCTGGAATAATACCTGGCCCTGTCATATGACTGCTGCCACAGGTACATTAGGGCCAGTTCAGTGCTGTAGCGACTCTAAATATAATATAATATATGGTTAAATATAACAACAGGCAGCCATTCACAAATTCATTTAACACAAACTTTAAAATTATGTTCATACATTTTCTGCCAACAGATTTTCAAGTTCTTAAAATATTTTCCATTGTTGCTAAACCACACACTCAAAATTTCAAATCAAGTATGGTTAAAAAATTAATGAACTTATTTAAAATAATTTCACAGATATATCAGGTTTGTAAGACAGAGGTCCTGGTATAGAGAAGTGACCTGTAAGATCAGGTTTGTAAGACAGAGGTCCTGGTATAGAGAACTAAGTGACCTGTAAGATCAGGTTTGTAAGACAGAGGTCCTGGTATAGAGAACTAAGTGACCTGTAAGATCAGGTTTGTAAGACAGAGGTCCTGGTATAGAGAACTAAGTGACCTGTAAGATCAGGTTTGTAAGACAGAGGTCCTGGTATAGAGAACTAAGTGACCTGTAAGATCAGGTTTGTAAGACAGAGGTCCTTGTATAGAGAACTGACCTGTAAGATCAGGTTTGTAAGACAGAGGTCCTGGTATAGAGAACTAAGTGACCTGTAAGATCAGGTTTGTAAGACAGAGGTCCTGGTATAGAGAAACTAAGTGACCTGTAAGATCAGGTTTGTAAGACAGAGGTCCTGGTATAGAGAACTAAGTGACCTGTAAGATCAGGTTTGTAAGACAGAGGTCCTGGTATAGAGAACTGACCTGTAAGATCAGGTTTGTAAGACAGAGGTCCTGGTATAGAGAACTGACCTGTAAGATCAGGTTTGTAAGACAGAGGTCCTGGTATAGAGAACTAAGTGACCTGTAAGTTCAGGTTTGTAAGACAGAGGCCCTGGTATAGAGAACTAAGTGACCTGTAAGATCAGGTTTGTAAGACAGAGGTCCTGGTATAGAGAACTAAGTGACCTGTAAGATCAGGTTTGTAAGACAGAGGTCCTGGTATAGAGAACTGAGTGACCTGTAAGATCAGGTTTGTAAGACAGAGGTCCTGGTATAGAGAACTGACCTGTAAGATCAGGTTTGTAAGACAGAGGTCCTGGTATAGAGAACTGACCTGTAAGATCAGGTTTGTAAGACAGAGGTCCTGGTATAGAGAACTAAGTGACCTGTAAGATCAGGTTTGTAAGACAGAGGTCCTGGTATAGAGAACTGACCTGTAAGATCAGGTTTGTAAGTGACCTGTAAGATCAGGTTTGTAAGACAGAGGTCCTGGTATAGAGAACTGACCTGTAAGATCAGGTTTGTAAGACAGAGGTCCTGGTATAGAGAACTAAGTGACCTGTAAGATCAGGTTTGTAAGACAGAGGTCCTGGTATAGAGAACTAAGTGACCTGTAAGATCAGGTTTGTAAGACAGAGGTCCTGGTATAGAGAACTGACCTGTAAGATCAGGTTTGTAAGACAGAGGTCCTGGTATAGAGAACTAAGTGACCTGTAAGATCAGGTTTGTAAGACAGAGGTCCTGGTATAGAGAACTGACCTGTAAGATCAGGTTTGTAAGACAGAGGTCCTGGTATAGAGAACTGACCTGTAAGATCAGGTTTGTAAGACAGAGGTCCTGGTATAGAGAACTAAGTGACCTGTAAGTTCAGGTTTGTAAGACAGAGGCCCTGGTATAGAGAACTAAGTGACCTGTAAGATCAGGTTTGTAAGACAGAGGTCCTGGTATAGAGAACTAAGTGACCTGTAAGATCAGGTTTGTAAGACAGAGGTCCTGGTATAGAGAACTAAGTGACCTGTAAGATCAGGTTTGTAAGACAGAGGTCCTGGTATAGAGAACTAAGTGACCTGTAAGATCAGGTTTGTAAGACAGAGGTCCTGGTATAGAGAACTAAGTGACCTGTAAGATCAGGTTTGTAAGACAGAGGTCCTGGTATAGAGAACTAAGTGACCTGTAAGATCAGGTTTGTAAGACAGAGGTCCTGGTATAGAGAACTAAGTGACCTGTAAGATCAGGTTTGTAAGACAGAGGTCCTGGTATAGAGAACTAAGTGACCTGTAAGATCAGGTTTGTAAGACAGAGGTCCTGGTATAGAGAACTAAGTGACCTGTAAGATCAGGTTTGTAAGACAGAGGTCCTGGTATAGAGAACTAAGTGACCTGTAAGATCAGGTTTGTAAGACAGAGGTCCTGGTATAGAGAACTAAGTGACCTGTAAGATCAGGTTTGTAAGACAGAGGTCCTGGTATAGAGAACTAAGTGACCTGTAAGATCAGGTTTGTAAGACAGAGGTCCTGGTATAGAGAACTAAGTGACCTGTAAGATCAGGTTTGTAAGACAGAGGTCCTGGTATAGAGAACTAAGTGACCTGTAAGATCGGGTTTGTAAGACAGAGGTCCTGGTATAGAGAACTAAGTGACCTGTAAGATCAGGTTTGTAAGACAGAGGTCCTGGTATAGAGAACTAAGTGACCTGTAAGATCAGGTTTGTAAGACAGAGGTCCTGGTATAGAGAACTAAGTGACCTGTAAGATCAGGTTTGTAAGACAGAGGTCCTGGTATAGAGAACTAAGTGACCTGTAAGTTCAGGTTTGTAAGACAGAGGCCCTGGTATAGAGAACTAAGTGACCTGTAAGATCAGGTTTGTAAGACAGAGGTCCTGGTATAGAGAACTGACCTGTAAGATTTGTAAGACAGAGGTCCTGGTATAGAGAACTGACCTGTAAGATCAGGTTTGTAAGACAGAGGTCCTGGTATAGAGAACTGACCTGTAAGATCAGGTTTGTAAGACAAAGGTCCTGGTATAGAGAACTGACCTGTAAGATCTGTTTCCTGTGTGGGTCCCTCATGGAGTCATCAACAAAAGTCAGCAGGGGCTGCTGGTTAGGGTCTCCTGACAACATCAACTTCAGTTTACTGCGCACCATGTAGGGGAGGTAATGCTCCTGGTGGGAACAAATATTTGATTAACTGCGGACCATGTAGGGGAGGTAATGCTCCTGGTGGGAACAAATATTTGATTAACTGCTGACCATGTAGGGGAGGTAATGCTCCTGGTAGAACAAATATTTGATTAACTGCGGACCATGTAGGGGAGGTAATGCTCCTGGTGGGAACAAATATTTGATTAACTGCGGACCATGTACGGGAGGTAATGCTCCTGGTGGGAACAAATATTTGATTAAATGCGGACCATGTAGGGGAGGTAATGCTCCTGGGGGAACAAATATTTGATTAACTGCGCACCATGTAGGGGAGGTAATGCTCCTGGGGGGAACAAATATTTGATTAACTGCGGACCATGTAGGGGAGGTAATGCTCCTGGGGGAACAAATATTTGATTAACTGCGCACCATGTAGGGGAGGTAATGCTCCTGGTGGGAACAAATATTTGATTAACTGCGGACCATGTAGGGGAGGTAATGCTCCTGGGGGGAACAAATATTTGATTAACTGCGGACCATGTAGGGGAGGTAATGCTCCTGGGGGGAACAAATATTTGATGAACTGCGGACCATGTAGGGGAGGTAATGCTCCTAGGGGAACAAATATTTGATTAACTGCTGACCATGTAGGGGAGGTAATGCTCCTGGTGGGAACAAATATTTGATTAACTGCGCACCATGTACGGGAGGTAATGCTCCTGGTGGGAACAAATATTTGATTAACTGCGCACCATGTAGGGGAGGTAATGCTCCTGGTGGGAACAAATATTTGATTAACTGCTGACCATGTAGGGGAGGTAATGCTCCTGGTGGGAACAAATATTTGATTAACTGAGCACCATATAGGGGAAGTAATGCTGGGCTAATTTCACCAGCCACCAGCATTATGGAGCACAAGTTTTGACAATGTATGATAGCAAGTACCTGATAGAAGCCATCCTCCCACACTCTTTCTAGATTGGGTGAGTCTGAGTTGTCTATTCCTTTAGATGAGACAACTTCTAGATCCTTCCACTGGGCCAAGTGATCCAGACACTGAAACACAACATAGCTAATAAATACACTAGTCAATGTTGGAGGACTAGATGTAAGACCCAATACCTCAGATAAATACACTAGGACTAGATGTAAGACCCAATACCTCAGATAAATACACTAGTCAATGTTGGAGGACTAGATGTAAGACCCAATACCTCAGATAAATACACTAGGACTAGATGTAAGACCCAATACCTCAGATAAATACACTAGTCAATGTTGGAGGACTAGATGTAACCTACCTCCATGCGACTTTCATTCCAGAAATCAACTTCTGCCTCCAGGGGATCTTCAGACCAGTTGAGTTTTCCCAGCGCCTGCCAAAATCAGGATTAGAGCAAGTGTTGCAGTAGGTGTTTTGTTATAGATATCACATCACAGTGAAAGTATATTTGACAGGAAGTCATGTTAGGTATTAGAAGGTCAGACATTTCTTACCTCTTCATACAAAAGATGGACAGCTTTAAAATCTAGAAGGTCAGACATTTCTTACCTCCTCATACAAAAGATGGGCTGCTTTAAAATCTAGAAGGTCAGACATTTCTTACCTCTTCATACAAAAGATGTGCAGCTTTAAAATCTAGAAGGTCAGACATTTCTTACCTCCTCATACAAAAGTTGTGCAGCTTTAAAATCTAGAAGGTCAGACATTTCTTACCTCCTCATACAAAAGTTGTGCAGCTTTAAAATCTAGAAGGTCAGACATTTCTTACCTCATACAAAAGATGGACAGCTTTAAAATCTAGAAGGTCAGACATTTCTTACCTCCTCATACAAAAGTTGTGCAGCTTTAAAATCTAGAAGGTCAGACATTTCTTACCTCATACAAAAGATGGGCAGCTTTAAAATCTAGAAGGTCAGACATTTCTTACCTCCTCATACAAAAGTTGTGCAGCTTTAAAATCTAGAAGGTCAGACATTTCTTACCTCCTCATACAAAAGTTGTGCAGCTTTAAAATCTAGAAGGTCAGACATTTCTTACCTCCTCATACAAAAGTTGTGCAGCTTTAAAATCTAGAAGGTCAGACATTTCTTACCTCCTCATACAAAAGTTGTGCAGCTTTAAAATCTAGAAGGTCAGACATTTCTTACCTCATACAAAAGATGGGCAGCTTTAAAATCTAGAAGGTCAGACATTTCTTACCTCCTCATACAAAAGTTGTGCAGCTTTAAAATCTAGAAGGTCAGACATTTCTTACCTCATACAAAAGATGGGCAGCTTTAAAATCTAGAAGGTCAGACATTTCTTACCTCCTCATACAAAAGTTGTGCAGCTTTAAAATCTAGAAGGTCAGACATTTCTTACCTCATACAAAAGATGGGCAGCTTTAAAATCTAGAAGGTCAGACATTTCTTACCTCCTCATACAAAAGATGGGCAGCTTTAAAATCTAGAAGGTCAGACATTTCTTACCTCATACAAAAGATGGGCAACTTTAAAATCTAGAAGGTCAGACATTTCTTACCTCCTCATACAAAAGATGGGCAGCTTTAAAATCTAGAAGGTCAGACATTTCTTACCTCCTCATACAAAAGTTGTGCAGCTTTAAAATCTAGAAGGTCAGACATTTCTTACCTCCTCATACAAAAGATGGGCAGCTTTAAAATCTAGAAGGTCAGACATTTCTTACCTCCTCATACAAAAGATGGGCAGCTTTAAAATCTAGAAGGTCAGACATTTCTTACCTCCTCATACAAAAGTTGTGCAGCTTTAAAATCTAGAAGGTCAGACATTTCTTACCTCCTCATACAAAAGATGGGCAGCTTTAAAATCTAGAAGGTCAGACATTTCTTACCTCCTCATACAAAAGTTGTGCAGCTTTAAAATCTAGAAGGTCAGACATTTCTTACCTCCTCATACAAAAGATGGGCAGCTTTAAAATCTAGAAGGTCAGACATTTCTTACCTCATACAAAAGATGGGCAACTTTAAAATCTAGAAGGTCAGACATTTCTTATCTCCTCATACAAAAGTTGTGCAGCTTTAAAATCTAGAAGGTCAGACATTTCTTACCTCATACAAAAGATGGACAGCTTTAAAATCTAGAAGGTCAGACATTTCTTACCTCCTCATACAAAAGTTGTGCAGCTTTAAAATCTAGAAGGTCAGACATTTCTTACCTCCTCATACAAAAGTTGTGCAGCTTTAAAATCTAGAAGGTCAGACATTTCTTACCTCCTCATACAAAAGATGTGCAGCTTTAAAATCTAGAAGGTCAGACATTTCTTACCTCCTCATACAAAAGTTGTGCAGCTTTAAAATCTAGAAGGTCAGACATTTCTTACCTCCTCATACAAAAGTTGTGCAGCTTTAAAATCTAGAAGGTCAGACATTTCTTACCTCCTCATACAAAAGTTGTGCAGCTTTAAAATCTAGAAGGTCAGACATTTCTTACCTCCTCATACAAAAGTTGTGCAGCTTTAAAATCTAGAAGGTCAGACATTTCTTACCTCCTCATACAAAAGTTGTGCAGCTTTAAAATCTAGAAGGTCAGACATTTCTTACCTCCTCATACAAAAGTTGTGCAGCTTTAAAATCTAGAAGGTCAGACATTTCTTACCTCCCTATACAAAAGTTGTGCAGCTTTAAAATCTAGAAGGTCAGACATTTCTTACCTCCTCATACAAAAGTTGTGCAGCTTTAAAATCTAGAAGGTCAGACATTTCTTACCTCATACAAAAGTTGTGCAGCTTTAAAATCTAGAAGGTCAGACATTTCTTACCTCCTCATACAAAAGTTGTGCAGCTTTAAAATCTAGAAGGTCAGACATTTCTTACCTCATACAAAAGTTGTGCAGCTTTAAAATCTAGAAGGTCAGACATTTCTTACCTCCTCATACAAAAGTTGTGCAGCTTTAAAATCTAGAAGGTCAGACATTTCTTACCTCCTCATACAAAAGTTGTGCAGCTTTAAAATCTAGAAGGTCAGACATTTCTTACCTCCTCATACAAAAGTTGTGCAGCTTTAAAATCTAGAAGGTCAGACATTTCTTACCTCCTCATACAAAAGTTGTGCAGCTTTAAAATCTAGAAGGTCAGACATTTCTTACCTCCTCATACAAAAGTTGTGCAGCTTTAAAATCTAGAAGGTCAGACATTTCTTACCTCCTCATACAAAAGTTGTGCAGCTTTAAAATCTAGAAGGTCAGACATTTCTTACCTCCTCATACAAAAGTTGTGCAGCTTTAAAATCTAGAAGGTCAGACATTTCTTACCTCCTCATACAAAAGTTGTGCAGCTTTAAAATCTAGAAGGTCAGACATTTCTTACCTCCTCATACAAAAGTTGTGCAGCTTTAAAATCTAGAAGGTCAGACATTTCTTACCTCATACAAAAGATGGACAGCTTTAAAATCTAGAAGGTCAGACATTTCTTACCTCCTCATACAAAAGTTGTGCAGCTTTAAAATCTAGAAGGTCAGACATTTCTTACCTCCTCATACAAAAGTTGTGCAGCTTTAAAATCTAGAAGGTCAGACATTTCTTACCTCTTCATACAAAAGATGGGCAGCTTTAAAATCTAGAAGGTCAGACATTTCTTACCTCCTCATACAAAAGTTGTGCAGCTTTAAAATCTAGAAGGTCAGACATTTCTTACCTCCTCATACAAAAGTTGTGCAGCTTTAAAATCTAGAAGGTCAGACATTTCTTACCTCCTCATACAAAAGTTGTGCAGCTTTAAAATCTAGAAGGTCAGACATTTCTTACCTCCTCATACAAAAGTTGTGCAGCTTTAAAATCTAGAAGGTCAGACATTTCTTACCTCCTCATACAAAAGTTGTGCAGCTTTAAAATCTAGAAGGTCAGACATTTCTTACCTCCTCATACAAAAGTTGTGCAGCTTTAAAATCTAGAAGGTCAGACATTTCTTACCTCCTCATACAAAAGTTGTGCAGCTTTAAAATCTAGAAGGTCAGACATTTCTTACCTCCTCATACAAAAGTTGTGCAGCTTTAAAATCTAGAAGGTCAGACATTTCTTACCTCATACAAAAGATGGACAGCTTTAAAATCTAGAAGGTCAGACATTTCTTACCTCCTCATACAAAAGTTGTGCAGCTTTAAAATCTAGAAGGTCAGACATTTCTTACCTCCTCATACAAAAGTTGTGCAGCTTTAAAATCTAGAAGGTCAGACATTTCTTACCTCTTCATACAAAAGATGGGCAGCTTTAAAATCTAGAAGGTCAGACATTTCTTACCTCTTCATACAAAAGATGGGCAGCTTTAAAATCTCCCCTGGCCTCACATTCTATAGCTTTTCTTGTCAGATCTTTAGTGCCAAGTTTACTGGCAAAAATTCCTTGAATAACGTCATATTCATGGATGGACTTGTACAAACTGGTGGACACGGAAATCAAGCATGCGACAATATTTTGGTATACAGATAAAGTGTACTTAAATAATGTCCAACCAATGATAGAACAGGGACAAACACTCAAATGTAGCACTGTGGCTGACATGAGGGGCTTTAAGAGATTTTTAGACATTTATTGAAGTCTGATAAAATCATTCACTACATATTTTTTTTTGACCTCCATACTGAGACAGTTGTAACTTTTTGACTCCCTTATCTCTAGACAGCCGTAACTTTTTGAACCCCATAACGAGACAGTTGTAACTTTTTGACCCCCATACCAAGACGGCCGTAACTTTTCTACCCCTTACCGAGACAGCTGTATCCACTGCGTCGTGTCTGCAGACTGTGCAGCTGAGAGCTGCCTGGCCCTCTTGCTAGACGAGGCTGTTAGTCTGGTGTCTGATTGGATCAGCTGCTCCTCCAGCACCATGATTCCTGCAGGGAAGTTTTCTTTCAGTTTCAACACAAATATTGAACTTTGACAACCCACCCACTGCTACATGGATCCACCCACTGTTACAACATGGACCCACCCACTGTTACAACATGGACCCACCCATTGCTACATGGATCCACCCACTGTTACAACATGGACCCACCCACTGTTACAACATGGACCTACCCACTGTTCCAACATGAACCCACCCACTGTTAAAATGGACTCACCCATTGTCTGTTGGTTGCTGGTGATGGCGCAAATTCCCAAATCTCCGGCAGCAACTTTAAGACTAGACCTCAGTTCATAGATAATGGTCTACAGAATTTTTAATTAGAGGTTAGCTCATTAAAATCTCCTATTACTAATAGAGAAAGACTAATAATAGTATAATACTAAATCTGGATTCACAAACAAGTTCAGTAGCTAAGAATAATGCAATAGAACAGCTTTTAAAAAAAATAGAATGGTTGCCTTACAAAAATAGAAGCCATAAATGGAGGATAAAAATGGATTGTTTCTTTAAGAATTGTCTCAATACTTATGTTGATCTGGTCAGTCAATACTTCAACCTCGCTCTGAGTTTTTAATTTGTCCATCTCCTTAAATATGGCTTGAAACAGAGAACTGAACAATAGTCTGGCTATTGCACTGTCATGCTGAAAACGGTAAATTAAATTAATGAACTTTTAAACAGTGTTTTTAAACATTTTCCTAAGGAAAAACACAATTTTAATAATGTTGCACAACTTAAATAAAACAGGAGTGATCTCCCCTAAACTTTCTCAAATATTCTTCCTAACACTACGGGGGATAGCAACTCAGGATATAGACATGATTTTAATCAATTTTTTATTTTTTTAAAAATAGAATAGAATCTCATAGAAAAAAGAATTGCTCACCAAATGAACAACAAACAATATGTGTTTATAGTGTGGAAAATTAGTACTTAACCTAATTTTCAAAGTGTTAATTAATCATCTAATTAAGTAACATTTTATATCACAATACATTGTCTTCGAGTCTTGACCTACATGAAAAGTTTAAAATAACTCGGTACGTTAGAAGGTGTTTGAAATTGTGTTAACAGTTTTTTGACTGTAATGGATGATACACAGAGGAATCGAGTTTAAAATAAATTCAAATGAACTTTTTTGAGAAATTCGGAGTAAAATATTACTAACCGTCATCAGAAATAGGAAATACTCAAAGTTTGACAGAAACAGAGAGCTAGATCTTTTACTTATTATTACTGGATTATAATATATCAGAAACAGTATTAAAGTTACACACTTTTGAAAAAATGTAAATTAAGTTCCACTTCATAATTTAAAATTTGATAATAATTTGATATAAAACTACACATTTTGTATAATACTTAAATATAAAATTGCATCAACCTAGCTGTAACAGTACTCAAGTTGTCATGTTCACAGATAGACAGACAGACAGACAAACACACACACACACACTGACAAACAGACAAAATTGCAAAACTTATTTTTTTCCAACTCAGGGAGGTGTAAAAGGTACCCAGCGGTACTTCTATTGGAGCAATGAGGTACTCACACGAGCCAAGGCTTGCAGTGGAGCAATGAGGTACTCACACGAGCCAAGGCTTGCAGTGGAGCAATGAGGTACTCACATGAGCCAAGGCTTGGAGTGGAGCAATGAGGTACTCACATGAGCCAAGGCTTGGAGTGGAGCAATGAGGTACTCACATGAGCCAAGGCTTGCAGTGGAGCAATGAGGTACTCACACGAGCCAAGGCTTGCAGTGGAGCAATGAGGTACTCACATGAGCCAAGGCTTGCAGTGGAGCAATGAGGTACTCACACGAGCCAAGGCTTGCAGTGGAGCAATGAGGTACTCACACGAGCCAAGGCTTGCAGTGGAGCAATGAGGTACTTACACGAGCCAAGGCTTGGAGTGGAGCAATGAGGTACTCACATGAGCCAAGGCTTGCAGTGGAGCAATGAGGTACTGGTACTTGATCTGTATGTCTGGCAGCTCACCAATACGATACTTTCTGTACAAGGTCACCTGGTGCTCCCTGCGAGCCTTTTGTTCTTTCATAGCCTCCTGCAGGGGCAGATGTCAGACAAATGTCATCTCAGAAAAATGGCATCTTATGTCAGATAGAATGTCATCTTATGACAGACAAATGTCATCTTATGACAGACAAATGTCATCTTATTACAGACAAATGTCATCTCATGTCAGGTACATGTCATCTTATGTCAGATGAATGTCATCTATGTCAGACAAATGTCATCTTATGCCATACAAATGTCATCTCATGTCAGATACATATCATCCTATGTCAGATGAATGTCATCTTATGTCAGACTAATTTCATTTTGACAGACAAATGTCATCTTATGTCAGACGCATGTCATCTTATGTCAGATACATATCTTATGTCAGATAAATGTCATATTATGTCAGACAAATGTCATCTTATGCCAGACAAATGCCATTTCATGTCAGTAAAATATAATATCAATCAACTGACCTCCCTTAATTGTTTCAAACGAATGTTCCTCCGTGCAAATGAAACACTTTGAGAGGTTTTATCTTTCATGAACCTACGTCGCAATCTCCAGACGTCATTTAGAGATTCAGGCTGACCTGCAGAAGTTGTTCAACATTCAAACATTTTGTTCATGGTCTGACATGGCATTCTTTATAGAATCATACCAAACTGGTTGTCTTACAATTCAGATTCACTAACTTAGGTTAGGTAAGTCTACCATCAGGTTTACAGGTAACTAAAGCTGAACCTACCATCAGGTTTACAGGTAACTACAGCTGAACCTACCATCAGGTTTACAGGTAACTAAAGCTGAACCTACCATCAGGTTCATCTACTTTCTGTTTGCTATCTCCTGAGGCCCAAGTATTCAGCCTCATGGTCTTCCTGACAGTTTGCCCCTTGTCAACCTCTGACTTCTGACCTTTGATGTCTGACCTCAGTGGGTTCTCAGCCAGCCTGAAGAGCAGCTGTGTGCTGCCCCCTATACTGCTGGCCTCAGTAAACGTGTCAAAGCTGCTCTGTGTCAGCCAGTTGAAGGCCTTGACACTTCCTGCTGGGACATAGGTAACATTTATAGACACCTGGTGGGGTATAGACAGGTAACATTTATTGACACCTGCTGGGACATAGACAGATAACATTTATTGACACCTGGTGGGACATAGACAGGTAACATTTATTGACACCTGGTGGGACATAGACAGGTAACATTTATAGACACCTGGTGGGACATAGACAGGTAACATTTATTGACACCTGCTGGGATATAGACAGGTAACATTTATAGACACCTGGTGGGACATAGACAGGTAACATTTATTGACACATGGTGGGACATAGACAGGTAACATTTATTGACACCTGGTGTGACATAGACAGGTAACATTTATTGACACCTGCTGGGACATAGACAGGTAACATTTATTGACACCTGCTGGGATATAGACAGGTAACATTGACACCTGCTGGGATATAAACAGGTAACAATTATTGACACCTGGTGGGACATAGACAGGTAACATTTATTGACACCTGGTGGGACATAGACAGGTAACATTTATTGACACCTGGTGGGATATAGACAGGTAACATTACAAGGTGAAACATGTTAGAACACTGAGCATTAAACAAATGTACCAAACCTGCTCCGTCTAGAGTTGGTGTGAACTGCGGCACATCCTGGGTGGCCCTGACCCCACCGTCCAAACTGTCCGTCCCTTCATCCATGGACTGACTGACCTGTGTACTGGCAAATAATGGCGTCATGACGGCATGTCTCTGACGCCAGGACGAGTCGATGGAATAATCCTGGAGGTCAAGGTCATAACCTTAGACAAACTCAATTAAACCAAACTCTAAATTATAACTTTAGACAAAACCCATTAAAAAGAACTACAAGGTAGCCTAACACTTTATACCACAGGGTGAATCAAGATATGTGAAGAGGAGTGTGTGTGTGTGTGTGTACATGTGCAGGTATAAACCTACCTGAAACGTGCAATCACTGAGAGTGTGTGTGTGCGTGTGAGTGCTTGTACATGTGCAGGTAAAGCCTACCTGAAATGCGCAGTCACTGTTTGTGTGTGTGCATGTGTGCGTGTAGATGTGCCGGTAAAAACCTACCCGAAACGTGCAGTCACTGAGTGCGTGTTCAAAGATTTCCCTCTGGTAGTCAGGTGACTTGGATGTGGCCTCCATCAGCAGGTTGGTGGCGTAGGCCAGGTAGTGGGGCTCTGTCTGGGGGGTGTACATGGCCTCCAGCATGGACACTGTCCTCTCCAGCGTCCCTTCTGGCAGTCTGGTGTTGCTGCTCCAGAAGTTCTGGCAGATCAACCTGAAACAACCTGGACATCTTTTATTTGTGTCTACATAATGTCATCATTTGTGTCTACATAATGTCATCATTTGTGTCTACATAATGTCATCCTTTTTAATTGTGTGACAGAATGTTAGCATTTTTATTTGTGTCTACATGATGTCATTATTTTTATTTGGGTCTACATAATGTCATCATTTGTGTCTACATAATGTCATCATTTGTGTCTACATGTCATCATTTGTGTCTACATAATGTCATCATTTGTGTCTACATAATGTCATCATTTGTGTCTACATGTCATCATTTTGTGTCTACATAATGTCAACATTTGTGTCTACATGTCATCATTTGTGTCTACATAATGTCATCATTTGTGTCTACATAATGTCATCATTTGTGTCTACATAATGTCATCATTTGTGTCTATATAATGTCGTCAGTCTCAAGTAGCGACAGTGACATGACAGCTAGAGCTCTCACCTGCAGGCCATGTCCTGATCACAAAGACCTAGCAGCAAAGTTTCTTTAGTTAACATCATGATCTGTGCACTGTCCTGCTCTTGGTAGTCTCTGGAATGGGACAAGTTTTTACACTTCATTACAGAAGCTGATCTACCTGTAACGGTTGACCTACCTGTAACACAAGTTGACCTACCTGTAACACAAGTTGACCTACCTACACCACAAGTTGACCTACCTGTAACAGTTGACCTTCCTTGTAGCACAAGTTGACCTACCTGTAACACAAGTTGACCTACCTGTAACACAAGTTGACCTACCTGTAACACAAGTTGACCTACCTGTAACACAAGTTGACCTACCTGTAACACAAGTTGACCTACCTGTAACACAAGTTGACCTACCTACACCACAAGTTGACCTACCTACAACACAAGTTGACCTACCTGTAACACAAGTTGACCTACCTGTAACACAAGTTGACCTACCTGTAACACAAGTTGACCTACCTGTAACACAAGTTGACCTTCCTGTAACACAAGTTGACCTACCTGTAACACAAGTTGACCTACCTGTAACACAAGTTGACCTTCCTGTAACACAAGTTGACCTACCTGTAGCACAAGTTGACCTACCTGTAACACAAGTTGACCTACCTGTAACACAAGTTGACCTACCTGTAACACAAGTTGACCTACCTGTAACACAAGTTGACCTACCTACACCACAAGTTGACCTACCTACAACACAAGTTGACCTACCTGTAACACAAGTTGACCTACCTGTAACACAAGTTGACCTACCTGTAACACAAGTTGACCTACCTGTAACACAAGTTGACCTACCTGTAGTTGTCGTAAATCCACATGAGAATGTCCAGCATGATTTTACGACAAGCTGAGCTGCTGTGGCTAGAGAAAGCTGTGATGGACGGAAGGATGGACATCAACTCTGGACCTTTGAACCTGGACACAACTGTCTTGATTATCTTCAGGGAGATCAGCTGTATGTCTTCATCCCTGGCAGGGTGGGAAAACTTTAGTTGGCTGGCCAGGTGGGAAAACTTTAGTTGACTAGCCAGGTGGGAAAACTTTAGTTGACTAGCCGGGTGGGAAAACTTTAGTTGACTGGCCAGGTGGGAAAACTTTATTTGACTAGCCAGGTGGGAAAACTTTAGTTGACTAGCCGGGTGGGAAAACTTTAGTTGGCTGGCCAGGTGGGAAAACTTTATTTGACTAGCCAGGTGGGAAAACTTTATTTGACTAGCCGGGTGGGAAAACTTTTTTTGGCTGGCCAGAGGGGAAAACTTTAGTTGACTGGCCAGAGGGGAAAACTTTATTTGGCTGGCCAGTTGGGAAAACTTTATTTGGCTGGCCAGAGGGGAAAACTTTAGTTGACTGGCCAGTTGGGAAAACTTTATTTGGCTGGCCAGAGGGGAAAACTTTAGTTGACTGGCCAGTTGGGAAAACTTTATTTGGCTGGCCAGAGGGGAAAACTTTAGTTGACTGGCCAGATGGGAAAACTTTATTTGGCTGGCCAGAGGGGAAAACTTTAGTTGACTGGCCAGGTGGGAAAACTTTATTTGACTGGCTAGGTGGGAAAACTTTAGTTGACTAGCTGGGTGGGAAAACTTTGACTGGCCAGGTGGGAAAACTTTATTTGACTGGCCAGATGGCAAAACTTTATTTGACTGGCCAGATGGCAAAACTTTATTTGACTGGCCAGGTGGGAAAACTTTATTTGGCTGGCCAGAGGGGAAAACTTTAGTTGACTGGCCAGGTGGGAAAACTTTATTTGACTGGCTAGGTGGGAAAACTTTAGTTGACTAGCTGGGTGGGAAAACTTTGACTGGCCAGGTGGGAAAACTTTATTTGACTGGCCAGATGGCAAAACTTTAGTTGACTGGCCAGGTGGGAAAACTTTATTTGACTGGCCAGATGGCAAAACTTTATTTGACTGGCCAGATGGCAAAACTTTATTTGAATGATTTCCACAGATAGTGTCAGTGAAATAAATAAGGCTTGTCAAAGAGCTGTACTAGTGATAGCTTAACACTATAACCACATTAAAATAATGCTGGCTACAGTGACAGTGTCTTAAAATCAGATTGTTCCATAGTTTTCTACAATAATGAATTAAGTATTTGGTGAATGAAGTTTCCAGTACCTGTGTTTGAGCAAGTCGTTGACCCCCATGCTGCTGACTTCCATGAAGACATCCTCCAGAGAGTCCATGTGACACAGCAGCACCTCCAGACACTGAGCCTTGAAACCTCCGTGCAGCTTGGGCAGAAGGTAGAGCAATTTCCTGAGGAACCTGGCAATAATGATGGGAGGATTTTCATAACTCAATGGCCATTTATCCTTCAAAGTATCCATAAAAACGTTAAATGAAGAAAAACAGCCAGTAGCGTAGCCATGATTTTCAGGCCCATAGACAAAAATTATCAGTGGGCCCTGTCAGCCGTTAGACTACAATGGAGTTAAACAAGAGCAGTGAAGAATTTGATTGCTACTTATGAGGGAGGAGTTTTGAATAATCGTTACCTTTGTGTCAAGAATGGGTACTGTAGTTTACCTTTGTGTCAGGGGTGGGTAACTAGTTTACCTTTGTGTCAGGGGTGGGTAACTGTAGTTTACCTTTGTGTCAGGGGTGGGTAACTCTTGTGGATGCCATGGATGCAGACGATGAAGTTGTCAAGCTTGGAGTTGGCCAGGCCAGTGAGCTGTGTTTGCACTGTGTCATGGAAAAATCCTTCAGTCTCCTGCTGGGTGCTGGCCTTCAGGTGAAGGATCAGACCAACAACTTCAGCAGTGGCAGCATAGACCAGCTTGAGGCTGTGGTTCATCAGTCCACATAGGACACTCAGGTACCTGGGCAGATCATGGCAGTTAGTGGTGGGACACTCAGGTACCTGGGCAGATCAGGGCAGTTAGTGGTGGGACACTACCTGGGCAGATCAGGGCAGTTAGTGGTGGGACACCCAGGTACCTGGGCAGATCAGGGCAGTTAGTGGTGGGACACTACCTGGGCAGATCAGGGCAGTTAGTGGTGGGACACTACCTGGGCAGATCAGGGCAGTTAGTGGTGGGACACTACCTGGGCAGATCAGGACAGTTAGTGGTGGGACACTCAGGTACCTGGGCAGATCAGGGCAGTTAGTGGTGGGACACTACCTGGGCAGATCAGGGCAGTTAGTGGTGGGACACTACCTGGGCAGATCAGGGCAGTTAGTGGTGGGACACTCAGGTACCTGGGCAGATCAGGGCAGTTAGTGGTGGGACACTACCTGGGCAGATCAGGGCAGTTAGTGGTGGGACACTACCTGGGCAGATCAGGGCAGTTAGTGGTGGGACACTCAGGTACCTGGGCAGATCAGGGCAGTTAGTGGTGGGACACTACCTGGGCAGATCATGGCAGTTAGTGGTGGGACACTACCTGGGCAGATCAGGGCAGTTAGTGGTGGGACTATACCTGGGCAGATCAGGGCAGTTAGTGGTGGGACACTACCTGGGCAGATCAGGGCAGTTAGTGGTGGGACACTTCTTCTTCTTCTTATGCGGAAACCGGCTCAGAAGGGGGACTTCCATTAGCCAGGCAGGCCTCAATGTAGTAAGCCCCGGCCCCCGTTAAAGGGCCAGGGCTCCCCACACATTGGTCGCTAAAACCGCGGTTTTCTCACCAGGCTTTTCTTCCCCTCCCACCAGACGCAGGACGTCGTCCCACCGCCTGGTACCCGGCTTGATCGTGGGGGGCATCTCATCAGATCGAAAAACCTCTAGCGGCTGTTATCTGCCCTCGGCCGTCCCGCATCCACTTAACGTGGGTTTGGTCGGACCAGCGACATTATTCCGAAACCTCGTCAGGCCGCCGCTTCAAGTCAAAAGTGATATCTGACTCTTTTTGTTCCCGACTGTCTTGCACCTCTCCTCCCCCACGCTGTTCTGTGGGGGACTTGGGAGACCGACGTGTCAGGCTCTTCGGAAAAAGCTGGAACCTGGACGCACACAACAGTTCCACCGACCAGAGCGAAAATCCTCTAGCTGCTGTTCACTCCACCAGCCATCCCGCTTCCTCTGTGGGACGGCCCCCCAGCCACCCCCCGAGGATTTGGTCCGACTGGCAGAGTTCGTCCGAAGCCGTGTGAGGGCCGCAGCTTTAAGTTAAACCGTCTGGTTAGGATCGCGAACAGACCCTTTTTAATTCCTAGCAGTCATGCATCTCTCCACCACCTCGCTATTTGGGACGATCAGGGCAGTTAGTGGTGGGACAAACTACCTGGGCAGATCAGGGCAGTTAGTGGTGGGACACTCAGGTACCTGGGCAGATCAGGGCAGTTAGTGGTGGGACACTCAGGTACCTGGGCAGATCAGGGCAGTTAGTGGTGGGACACTACCTGGGCAGATCAGGGCAGTTAGTGGTGGGACACTACCTGGGCAGATCAGGGCAGTTAGTGGTGGGACACTCAGGTACCTGGGCAGATCAGGGCAGTTAGTGGTGGGACACTACCTGGGCAGATCAGGGCAGTTAGTGGTGGGACACTCAGGTACCTGGGCAGATCAGGGCAGTTAGTGGTGGGACACTACCTGGGCAGATCAGGGCAGTTAGTGGTGGGACACTACCTGGGCAGATCAGGGCAGTTAGTGGTGGGACACTCAGGTACCTGGGCAGATCAGGGCAGTTAGTGGTGGGACACTACCTGGGCAGATCAGGGCAGTTAGTGGTGGGACAAACTACCTGGGCAGATCAGGGCAGTTAGTGGTGGGACACCCAGGAATGAACCTATCAAGATTTGTTGAGTTTGGGACTGACCTGTCCTGGTCAACTGGTGCGGAGGGTCCATAAGGTGGAAGTTTTGATTGGTACTGACCTGTCCTGGTCAACTGGTGCGGAGGGTCCATAAGGTGGAAGTTTTGATTGGTACTGACCTGTCCTGGTCAACTGGTGTGGAGGGTCCATAAGGTGGAAGTTTTGATTGGTACTGACCTGTCCTGGTCAACTGGTGCGGAGGGTCCATAAGGTGGAAGTTTTGATTGGTACTGACCTGTCCTGGTCAACTGGTGTGGAGGGTCCATAAGGTGGAAGTTTTGATTGGTACTGACCTGTCCTGGTCAACTGGTGTGGAGGGTCCATAAGGTGGAAGTTTTGATTGGTACTGACCTGTCCTGGTCAACTGGTGCGGAGGGTCCATAAGGTGGAAGTTTTGATGCCAGCACAACACCCAGCACTTGAACACCTGTACAAGGCTGCTGGGCCTTAGGCTCTGTCACCCTCAGCAGGTTGTAGATGATGCTGGGAATAGAAAGTTGTAGATGATGCTGAAAGTTGTAGATGATGCTGGGAATACAAAGTTGTAGATGATGCTGGGAATAGAAAGTTGTAGATGATGCTGGGAATAGAAAGTTGTAGATGATGCTGAAAGTTGTAGATGATGCTGGGAATAGAAAGTTGTAGGTGATGCTGGGAATAGAAAGTTGTAGATGATGCTGGGAATAGAAAGTTGTAGATGATGCTGGGAATAGAAAGTTGTAGATGATGCTGGGAATAGAAAGTTGTAGATGATGCTGGGAATACAAAGTTGTAGATGATGCTGGGAATAGAAAGTTGTAGATGATGCTGGGAATAGAAAGTTGTAGATGATGCTGAAAGTTGTAGATGATGCTGGGAATAGAAAGTTGTAGATGATGCTGGGAATAGAAAGTTGTAGATGATGCTGAAAGTTGTAGATGATGCTGGGAATAGAAAGTTGTAGATGATGCTGGGAATAGAAAGTTGTAGATGATGCTGGGAATAGAAAGTTGTAGATGATGCTGAAAGTTGTAGATGATGCTGGGAATAGAAAGTTGTAGATGATGCTGGGAATAGAAAGTTGTAGATGATGCTGGGAATAGAAAGTTGTAGATGATGCTGGGAATAGAAAGTTGTAGATGATGCTGAAAGTTGTAGATGATGCTGGGAATAGAAAGTTGTAGATGATGCTGAAAGTTGTAGATGATGCTGGGAATAGAAAGTTGTAGATGGTGGGAATAGAAAGTTGTAGATGCTGGGAATAGAAAGTTGTAGATGATGCTGAAAGTTGTAGATGATGCTGGGAATAGAAAGTTGTAGATGATGCTGAAAGTTGTAGATGATGCTGGGAATAGAAAGTTGTAGATGATGCTGGGAATAGAAAGTTGTAGATGATGCTGGGAATAGAAAGTTGTAGATGATGCTGAAAGTTGTAGATGATGCTGGGAATAGAAAGTTGTAGATGATGCTGGGAATACAAAGTTGTAGATGGTGCTGGGAATAGAAAGTTGTAGATGATGCTGGGAATAGAAAGTTGTAGATGTTGGGAATACAAAGTTGTAGATGATGCTGGGAATACAAAGTTGTAGATGATGCTGAAAGTTGTAGATGATGCTGGGAATAGAAAGTTGTAGATGATGCTGAAAGTTGTAGATGATGCTGGGAATAGAAAGTTGTAGATGATGCTGAAAGTTGTAGATGATGCTGGGAATAGAAAGTTGTAGATGATGCTGGGAATACAAAGTTGTAGATGATGCTGAAAGTTGTAGATGATGCTGGGAATAGAAAGTTGTAGATGATGCTGGGAATAGAAAGTTGTAGATGATGCTGGGAATAGAAAGTTGTAGATGGTGCTGGGAATAGAAAGTTGTAGATGATGCTGAAAGTTGTAGATGATGCTGGGAATAGAAAGTTGTAGATGATGCTGAAAGTTGTAGATGATGCTGGGAATAGAAAGTTGTAGATGATGCTGGGAATACAAAGTTGTAGATGATGCTGAAAGTTGTAGATGATGCTGGGAATAGAAAGTTGTAGATGATGCTGGGAATAGAAAGTTGTAGATGATGCTGGGAATAGAAAGTTGTAGATGATGCTGGGAATAGAAAGTTGTAGATGATGCTGGGAATAGAAAGTTGTAGATGATGCTGGGAATACAAAGTTGTAGATGATGCTGGGAATAGAAAGTTGTAGATGGTGCTGGGAATAGAAAGTTGTAGATGATGCTGAAAGTTGTAGGTGATGCTGGGAATAGAAAGTTGTAGATGATGCTGGGAATACAAAGTTGTAGATGATGCTGGGAATAGAAAGTTGTAGATGGTGCTGGGAATAGAAAGTTGTAGATGATGCTGGGAATAGAAAGTTGTAGATGATGCTGGGAATAGAAAGTTGTAGATGGTGCTGGGAATAGAAAGTTGTAGATGATGCTGAAAGTTGTAGATGATGTTGGGAATACAAAGTTGTAGATGATGCTGGGAATAGAAAGTTGTAGATGGTGCTGGGAATAGAAAGTTGTAGATGATGCTGGGAATAGAAAGTTGTAGATGATGCTGGGAATAGAAAGTTGTAGATGATGCTGGGAATAGAAAGTTGTAGATGATGCTGGGAATAGAAAGTTGTAGATGATGCTGGGAATAGAAAGTTGTAGATGATGCTGGGAATAGAAAGTTGTAGATGGTGCTGGGAATAGAAAGTTGTAGATGATGCTGGGAATAGAAAGTTGTAGATGATGCTGGGAATAGAAAGTTGTAGATGGTGCTGAAAGTTGTAGATGATGCTGGGAATAGAAAGTTGTAGATGATGCTGGGAATAGAAAGTTGTAGATGATGCTGGGAATAGAAAGTTGTAGATGATGCTGGGAATAGAAAGTTGTAGATGGTGCTGAAAGTTGTAGATGATGCTGGGAATTGAAAGTTGTAGATGATGCTGGGAATAGAAAGTTGTAGATGATGCTGGGAATAGAAAGTTGTAGATGATGCTGAAAGTTGTAGATGATGCTGGGAATAGAAAGTTGTAGATGATGCTGGGAATAGAAAGTTGTAGATGATGCTGGGAATAGAAAGTTGTAGATGGTGCTGGGAATAGAAAGTTGTAGATGATGCTGGGAATAGAAAGTTGTAGATGATGCTGGGAATAGAAAGTTGTAGATGGTGGGAATAGAAAGTTGTAGATGCTGGGAATAGAAAGTTGTAGATGATGCTGAAAGTTGTAGATGATGCTGGGAATAGAAAGTTGTAGATGATGCTGAAAGTTGTAGATGATGCTGGGAATAGAAAGTTGTAGATGGTGGGAATAGAAAGTTGTAGATGCTGGGAATAGAAAGTTGTAGATGATGCTGAAAGTTCTAGATGATGCTGGGAATAGAAAGTTGTAGATGATGCTGAAAGTTGTAGATGATGCTGGGAATAGAAAGTTGTAGATGATGCTGAAAGTTGTAGATGATGCTGGGAATAGAAAGTTGTAGATGATGCTGGTTGTTCATTGTATCTGTTGTGTGACGCATGGATCACCCACAAAGGTATGTCCTTGTGTTCAAAACATCACCTGTTCCAGTTAATTTGTCATGTACTGATTACACATTTTAAACTAATTAACATCCATTATGGGACTATATTTTTCTAGGCATAAAGAAGAATTGTGAGACTCACTCATAAGGGAGATCCACCCGGGGGCGCCAGCAGTCTAAAAGAGTTTTGAGCAGCTCCAGATTGTTCCTGAAGATGGCTCGGACAGGGTGGTAAATGTGTTCAATCACGAACCTCACCACACATGACGCCATGGCTCTCTCATCAGTTGTCTCCTGGGGAGGGGGGGGGGGGTTAGGTGGTGTAGGTTATTTTGGATGGTCCTTGTTGGGTATGTGTTGGGTGGTTATGGTTAAGTTCATAGTTCAAGTTGATTTAGGTTTAGTTCAGGTTTGGTGGTTAAGGATTAGATTAAGTTTTTTAAGGTTAGATTAGCAGATTAGGTTAGGTTTGGTAGTAAACTCAGTTGTCACTACAGGGGGAGGGTAGATGAATAGAACTAGAAGCCACCCAGCAGAACTTGAAACAAAAAAACTAAAGAACATGTTTCTACATGCAAATAAACTAAAGAAAGTGTTTCTACTTATAAATAAACTAAACAAAGTGTTTCTACTTATAAATAAACTAAACAAAGTATTTCTACTTACAAATAAACTAAACAAAGTGTTTCTACTTACAAATAAACTAAACAAAGTGTTTCTACTTACAAATAAACTAAACAAAGTGTTTCTACTTACAAATAAACTAAACAAAGTGTTTCTACTTACAAATAAACTAAACAAAGTGTTTCTACTTACAAATAAACTAAACAAAGGGTTTCTACTTACTGCAGGAATTGCTGTTGTGTGCCATGTCACCATGGTGATGAGGAGGTCAACAACAAAATAATTGAGACCCCCTCTACTGACCTCTGGGGTCAGGAGCAGCTGACAGAGTGGACGCAGCCAAAACCTGGCATAGGGCTGGAAGATCTGGAAACATCAGGATATCAGCATGTCAGGTTATCAGCATGTCAGGTTATCAGCATGTCATGAGTCAGGTTATCAGCATGTCATGAGTCAGGTTATCAGCATGTCATGAGTCAGGTTATCAGCATGTCATGAGTCAGGTTATCAGCATGTCATGAGTCAGGTTATCAGCATGTCATGAGTCAGGTTATCAGCATGTCATGAGTCAGGTTATCAGCATGTCATGAGTCAGGTTATCAGCATGTCATGAGTCAGGTTATCAGCATGTCATGAGTCAGGTTATCAACATGTCATGAGTCAGGTTATCAGCATGTCATGAGTCAGGTTATCAGCATGTCATGAGTCAGGTTATCAGCATGTCATGAGTCAGGTTATCAGCATGTCATGAGTCAGGTTATCAGCATGTCATGAGTCAGGTTATCAGCATGTCATGAGTCAGGTTATCAGCATGTCATGGGTCAGGTTATCAGCATGTCATGAGTCAGGTTATCAGCATGTCATGAGTCAGGTTATCAGCATGTCATGGGTCAGGTTATCAGCATGTCATGAGTCAGGTTATCAGCATGTCATGGGTCAGGTTATCAGCATGTCATGAGTCAGGTTATCAGCATGTCATGAGTCAGGTTATCAGCATGTCATGAGTCAGGTTATCAGCATGTCATGAGTCAGGTTATCAGCATGTCATGAGTCAGGTTATCAGCATGTCATGAGTCAGGTTATCAGCATGTCATGAGTCAGGTTATCAGCATGTCATGAGTCAGGTTATCAGCATGTCATGAGTCAGGTTATCAGCATGTCATGAGTCAGGTTATCAGCATGTCATGAGTCAGGTTATCAGCATGTCATGAGTCAGGTTATCAGCATGTCATGAGTCAGGTTATCAGCATGTCATGAGTCAGGTTATCAGCATGTCATGAGTCAGGTTATCAGCATGTCATGAGTCAGGTTATCAGCATGTCATGAGTCAGGTTATCAGCATGTCATGAGTCAGGTTATCAGCATGTCATGAGTCAGGTTATCAGCATGTCATGAGTCAGGTTATCAGCATGTCATGAGTCAGGTTATCAGCATGTCATGAGTCAGGTTATCAGCATGTCATGAGTCAGGTTATCAGCATGTCATGAGTCAGGTTATCAGCATGTCATGAGTCAGGTTATCAGCATGTCATGAGTCAGGTTATCAGCATGTCATGAGTCAGGTTATCAGCATGTCATGAGTCAGGTTATCAGCATGTCATGAGTCAGGTTATCAGCATGTCATGAGTCAGGTTATCAGCATGTCAGACAGACTAGGACACTCAGCTAGAGCTAGTTGGTGCAATTGTCAATTTCAATTGATGTGTGACTTGACCACAGTTATACTTACTTGACCACAACTATACCTACATGACCACAGCTATACCTACTTGACCACAGCTATACCTACTTGACCACAGCTATACCTACTTGACCACAGTTATACTTACTTGACCACAACTATACCTACATGACCACAGCTATACCTACTTGACCACAGCTATACCTACTTGACCACAGCTATACCTACTTGACCACAGTTAAACTTGACCACAGCTATACCTACTTGACCACAGCTATACCTACTTGACCACAGCTATACCTACTTGACCACAGTTAAACTTGACCAAAGCTATACCTACTTGACCACAGCTATACCTACTTGATCATAGCTATACTTACTTGACCACAGTTAAACTTGACCACAGCTATACCTACTTGACCACAGTTATAACTACTTGACCACAGCTATACTTACTTGACCACAGTTAAACTTGACCACAGCTATACTTACTTGACCACAGCTATACTTACTTGACCACAGCTATATTTACTTGACCACAGCTATACTTACTTGACCACAGCTATACTTACTTGACCACAGTTCATGACCAGTTTGGCCACAAAAATTTTGACGCTGATGTGAGTTGAAACATTGGATAATTTCTCATGTAGGTACACCATCCAAGGTGGCATCTCATTTGGCACTGTTCCCTGAAATATTCAACACCAACTTCAGCATTTGCTTCAAGCCAGAGATATGACTTGTAGTATGAGTTCCAATTAAAAAAACTCTGGACATTGAACTTTTTAATTGGAGCAGAGAGAAAACTAGACCTTTGAAAGTTGGGGGGAGATGTTGTTGTTTCAATTGGAGCAGAGAGAAAACCAGACCTTTGAAAGTTGGGGGGAGATGTTGTTGTTTCAATTGGAGCAGAGAGAAAACTAGACCTTTGAAAGTTGGGGGGAGATGTTGTTGTTTCAATTGGAGCAGAGAGAAAACCAGACCTTTGAAAGTTGGGGGGAGATGTTGTTGTTGACCATATGCTGTATGAGGGCCACCAGCGAGGCCATACACTCGTGTTTGTTCAGCTGGTCCATCTCCAGCTCCACGTAGTTGTCTGGTGCCTCAGCTCTCTGGAACATGAGTTTTTTAACAACGTATGTCGTAGGCATGTAGCAGACGTACAGTCACACATACACACGCACACAGACACATCAGACATTCAGCAGAACTCACACATACATGCACACACATGCGCACACACAAACCCTCACACAGTTTGTTTGTCCAGCTAAACTAAAAGAAAACCACTTAAAAGTTTCTCACAGTTGTTTCCCCTGAAGTAGAGTGGCTGGGGACTTTCTTCATGGCCTGACCAAATGACCCTCCCTGTTGGAGGAGACAAACACAATGTTGGGTTGTATTTCTAGACAAGTGCACATGTGTGCAGTGGAGTAAGTGCTACTTAATCAGACAAGTGCACATGTGTGCAGTGGAGTAAGTGCTACTTAATCAGACAAGTGCACATGTATGCAGTGGAGTAAGTGCTACTTAATCAGACAAGTGCACATGTATGCAGTGGAGTAAGTGCTACTTAATCAGACAAGTGCACATGTATGCAGTGGAGTAAGTGCTACTTAACTCAGACAAGTGCACATGTATGCAGTGGAGTAAGTGCTACTTAATCAGACAAGTACACATGTGTGCAGTGGAGTAAGTGCTACTTAATCAGACAAGTGCACATGTATGCAGTGGAGTAAGTGCTACTTAATCAGACAAGTGCACATGTATGCAGTGGAGTAAATGCTACTTAATCAGACAAGTGCACATGTATGCAGTGGAGTAAGTGCTACTTAACTCAGACAAGTGCACATGTATGCAGTGGAGTAAGTGCTACTTAATCAGACAAGTGCACATGTATGCAGTGGAGTAAGTGCTACTTAATCAGACAAGTGCACATGTATGCAGTGGAGTAAGTGCTACTTAATCAGACAAGTGCACATGTATGCAGTGGAGTAAGTGCTACTTAATCAGACAAGTGCACATGTATGCAGTGGAGTAAGTGCTACTTAATCAGACAAGTGCACATGTATGCAGTGGAGTAAGTGCTACTTAAAGCTCAGCTAAATGCAAACTTAAAGTTTAAGTTATCAAACAAACCATTATAGAGGAATGACCAGATTCAGTCCATAGATTTTGTCAAGCAAGCATCAACAGTTTAAACTTGCTGCCACCCTACACAATATTGTTCTACACTCAGTGGCTGACTTTTATCAAACCATGCTTGTCCTCAGACTGTAGACAATTCCTTACAGAATTAAAGGCGCCATGGTTACACATTTTTCCTTTAAAATTACCTGCCCACTATCTACCTCTTCTAGCTTGATGTAGCAGCAGCACATAGTAACAGACAATCCAGGTCAAAGGTCATGTTTGTTTATCTAATATGTTTTGAAACATGTTCTATAGATACAAACTGTTGGGCAAATGTTTCCAGAACAACAGAACTTCTGAGTTCCAGAAAAGTCTAGAACATGTAGCAAGTGTTGACCTATGGTACCTGAGCAGCTGCGGACAAGTTGAAGTCGTACAAGTTGAGGTCATCACTCAGACTGCTGTCAGCCAGGTACTGTGTGGCAATGTGTATGGACGGGGAGACACTCGACTCCACTGACCCTCCCTCCGTCTGGTTCTCACTCTCCTGCCTTCTTACGGCCACAAACTTCTGCCGTCGCTCATGGGGGGACTGACATGATGGTAGAAAAAGGAAATTCACAATTCAGCTCATGGGGGACTGACATGATGGTAGAAAAAGGAAATTCACAATTCAGCTCATGGGGGGATTGACATGATGGTAGAAAAAGGAAATTCACAATTCAGCTCATGGGGGACTGACATGATGGTAGAAAAAGGAAATTCACAATTCAGCTCATGGGGGGATTGACATGATGGTAGAAAAAGGAAATTCACAATTCAGCTCATGGGGGACTGACATGATGGTAGAAAAAGGAAATTCACAATTCAGCTTTTAGTCACAGATTTTAATCATGGCAGGTGGCAGGACTGTAGTTGTTTAAAGTTTTTGAGAAAACACATTTTAAAAATGTCATAGGTACATTTCTCAGTTAATCATGTAAAACTTGAAAATATTTGTAAGCAACTTCTGGTCTCACAAAGAATTGATGACAATATTTTATTTCAAAAGTTTTGTGCTTTAAGAAAATAATGAACTAGTCATCCCTACAGTCATACAATCAAACAGTGGAGGAATAGTGTTGTGAGATTAGCCTGGTCATCCATCCTCAGTGACATGAGCTACTTGTTCACCAACTCTAATTATTGCAGATGTTTACATTAATTCCTCTTGTTTGTACACAGGTTTAAATTACCTCCCTTTGTTTGTACACAGGTTTACATTACCTCCCCTTACCTGCAGTTCCACTTGAAAGTCATTAACAAATTCCTGATCAATGATGTTATCTAGTAAAAACTGACCCTGTAAACAAAATTAATTTCTAATTAAAAATTAATTACATTTGAAACTCTACACTCAAAAATAAATTCTTTTATTAAACTGCATGTACAAGCAAAAGGAATTGCTGGTTATTATAAACACAAAAGCAATTTACTTTCAAATTAAATTTACTGATATAAAACTTTGGCAAGTCTTCCTATTCTAGCTGAAGCAACTATTACAAATTTGATGAATTGAAAAACACCAGTTATCTTGTTGGTAATCATGAAACAAAAAGCCCTTGTAAAACATAACCTTAGCAATATTGTCTTGAAACAAAAAGCCCTTGTAAAACTTGATGTCCGTCTGTAAAACATAACCTTAGCAATATTGTCTTGTAACAAAAAGCCCTTGTAAAACTTGATGTCTGTCTGTAAAACATAACCTTAGCAATATTGTCTTGAAACAAAAAGCCCTTGTAAAACTTGATGTCTGTCTGTAAAACATAACCTTAGCAATATTGTCTTGAAGCAAAAAGCCCTTGTAAAACATAACCTTAGCAATATTGTCTTGAAACAAAAAGCCCTTGTAAAACAGAACCTTAGCAATATTGTCTTAAAACAAAAAGCCCTTGTAAAACTTGATGTCTGTCTGTAAAACAGAACCTTAGCAATATTGTCTTGAAACAAAAAGCCCTTGTAAAACTTGATGTCTGTCTGTAAAACATAACCTTAGCAATATTGTCTTGAAACAAAAAGCCCTTGTAAAACTTGATGTCTGTCTGTAAAACATAACCTTAGCAATATTGTCTTGAAACAAAAAGCCCTTGTAAAACTTGATGTCTGTCTGTAAAACATAACCTTAGCAATATTGTCTTGAAGCAAAAAGCCCTTGTAAAACATAACCTTAGCAATATTGTCTTGAAACAAAAAGCCCTTGTAAAACAGAACCTTAGCAATATTGTCTTAAAACAAAAAGCCCTTGTAAAACTTGATGTCTGTCTGTAAAACAGAACCTTAGCAATATTGTCTTGAAACAAAAAGCCCTTGTAAAACTTGATGTCTGTCTGTAAAACATAACCTTAGCAATATTGTCTTGAAACAAAAAGCCCTTGTAAAACTTGATGTCTGTCTGTAAAACATAACCTTAGCAATATTGTCTTGAAACAAAAAGCCCTTGTAAAACTTGATGTCTGTCTGTAAAACATAACCTTAGCAATATTGTCTTGAAACAAAAAGCCCTTGTAAAACTTGATGTCTGTCTGTAAAACATAACCTTAGCAATATTGTCTTGAAACAAAAAGCCCTTGTAAAACTTGATGTCTGTCTGTAAAACATAACCTTAGCAATATTGTCTTGAAACAAAAAGCCCTTGTAAAACTTGATGTCTGTCTGTAAAACAGAACCTTAGCAATATTGTCTTGAAACAAAAAGCCCTTGTAAAACTTGATGTCTGTCTGTAAAACAGAACCTTAGCAATATTGTCTTGAAACAAAAAGCCCTTGTAAAACTTGATGTCTGTCTGTAAAACAGAACCTTAGCAATATTGTCTTGAAACAAAAAGCCCTTGTAAAACTTGATGTCTGTCTGTAAAACATAACCTTAGCAATATTGTCTTGAAACAAAAAGCCCTTGTAAAACTTGATGTCTGTCTGTAAAACATAACCTTAGCAATATTGTCTTGAAACAAAAAGCCCTTGTAAAACTTGATGTCTGTCTGTAAAACATAACCTTAGCAATATTGTCTTAAAACAAAAAGCCCTTGTAAAACTTGATGTTTGTCTGTAAAACATAACCTTAGCAATATTGTCTTGAAACAAAAAGCCCTTGCAAAACTTGATGTCTGTCTGTAAAACAGAACCTTAGCAATATTGTCTTGAAACAAAAAGCCCTTGTAAAACTTGATGTCTGTCTGTAAAACATAACCTTAGCAATATTGTCTTGAAACAAAAAGCCCTTGTAAAACATAACCTTAGCAATATTGTCTTGAAACAAAAAGCCCTTGTAAAACTTGATGTCTGTCTGTAAAACATAACCTTAGCAATATTGTCTTGAAACAAAAAGCCCTTGTAAAACTTGATGTCTGTCTGTAAAACATAACCTTAGCAATATTGTCTTGAAACAAAAAGCCCTTGTAAAACTTGATGTCTGTCTGTAAAACATAACCTTAGCAATATTGTCTTGAAACAAAAAGCCCTTGTAAAACTTGATGTCTGTCTGTAAAACATAACCTTAGCAATATTGTCTTGAAACAAAAAGCCCTTGTAAAACTTGATGTCTGTCTGTAAAACATAACCTTAGCAATATAGTCTTGAAACAAAAAGCCCTTGTAAAACTTGATGTCTGTCAGTAAAACACAACCTTAGCAATATTGTCTTGAAATAAAAAGCCCTTGTAAAACTTGATGTCTGTCTGTAAAACATAACCTTAGCAATATTGTCTTGAAACAAAAAGCCCTTGTAAAACTTGATGTCTGTCTGTAAAACATAACCTTAGCAATATTGTCTTGAAACAAAAAGCCCTTGTAAAACATAACCTTAGCAATATTGTCTTGAAACAAAAAGCCCTTGTAAAACTTGATGTCTGTCTGTAAAACATAACCTTAGCAATATTGTCTTGAAACAAAAAGCCCTTGTAAAACTTGATGTCTGTCAGTAAAACACAACCTTAGCAATATTGTCTTGAAATAAAAAGCCCTTGTAAAACTTGATGTCTGTCTGTAAAACATAACCTTAGCAATATTGTCTTGAAACAAAAAGCCCTTGTAAAACTTGATGTCTGTCAGTAAAACACAACCTTAGCAATATTGTCTTGAAATAAAAAGCCCTTGTAAAACATAACCTTAGCAATATTGTCTTGAAACAAAAAGCCCTTGTAAAACATAACCTTAGCAATATTGTCTTGAAACAAAAAGCCCTTGTAAAACTTGATGTCTGTCAGTAAAACACAACCTTAGCAATATTGTCTTGAAACAAAAAGCCCTTGTAAAACATAACCTTAGCAATATTGTCTTGAAACAAAAAGCCCTTGTAAAACAGAACCTTAGCAATATTGTCTTGAAACAAAAAGCCCTTGTAAAACTTGATGTCTGTCAGTAAAACACAACCTTAGCAATATTGTCTTGAAACAAAAAGCCCTTGTAAAACATAACCTTAGCAATATTGTCTTGAAACAAAAAGCCCTTGTAAAACATAACCTTAGCAATATTGTCTTGAAACAAAAAGCCCTTGTAAAACTTGATGTCTGTCTGCACACAGGATATGATTGCCATCAGGAGGTTGTAGGCGTAGCAGTGGTACTGGCGCCGTAGGTCTGGGCACATCCTCTCTCCTCGGACGTCTTCACTTTTGGCATCGTTGGCACACCTGGGGTTAAACAGGTGGAGGGGGGGGGGGGGGCATTAGGTCTGTGGTTGGCATTAGGTCAGTGGTTGGCATGTGGTCAGTGGTTGGCATGTGGTCAGTGGTTGGCATGTGGTCAGTGGTTGGCATGTGGTCAGTGGTTGGCATGTGGTCAGTGGTTGGCATGTGGTCACTGGTTGACATGTGGACAGTGGTTGGCATGTGGTCAGTGGTTGGCATGTGGTCAGCATTAGGTCAGTGGTTGGCATATGGCTAAAGGTCAGTGGTTGGCATGTGGTCAGTGGTTGGCATGTGGTCAGTGGTTGGCATGTGGTCAGTGGTTGGCATGTGGTCAGTGGTTGGCATGTGGTCAGTGGTTGGCATGTGGTCAGTGGTTGGCATGTGGTCAGTGGTTGGCATGTGGTCAGTGGTTGGCATGTGGTCAGTGGTTGGCATGTGGTCAGTGGTTGGCATGTGGTCAGTGGTTGACATGTGGTCAGTGGTTGGCATTAGGTCAGTGGTTGGCATGTGGTCACTGGTTCACATGTGGACAGTGGTTGGCATGTGGTCAGTGGTTGGCATTAGGTCAGTGTCAGTGGTTGGCATGTGGTCAGTGGTTGGCATTAGGTCAGTGGTTGACATGTGACTAGTGGTTGGCATTAGGTCAGTGGTTGGCATTAGGTCAGTGGTTGACATTTGGTCAGTGGTTGGCATGTGGCTAGTGGTTGGCATTAGGTCAGTGGTAAGCATTAGGTCAGTGGTAAGCATTAGGTCAGTGGTTGACATTTGGTCAGTGGTTGACATGTGGCTAGTGGTTGGCATGTGGCTAGTGGTCAGTGGTTGGCATGTGGTCAGTGGTTGTCATGTGGCTAGTGGCTAGCACGGTTGGTCAATGGTCAAGTGTCACAAGAACAGGCAGCAGGAAGCTAGCTGTCAAACAAGAAGCCAGTGGTTAAGCAGATAGCCAACTACATTGCTACTTCAGCAGTATAAACTAATATCTGCCACTAGCTCACAAAACACTTCCAAGACAAAGTAACAAAAGCTTCTGTAGGGTCTGGGCAATGATCAGAGCTCAGTAACAAATTAAAAGGAATATAGAGTTAATTAAAAATGTAAATAAGCTGCAATTAATGAGAACGTACTTTGTAATTTTCTGTGTCATTTCCTTGCCTGTCTCATCCTTGCCAAGACAAAATTCCCTGTTGACCACCGATGCTTTAGTGTTGACCTCGTCCTTGCTCAGCCGCACATACATCAGCTCCAGCAGTTGGAAGCAGCAGATCTTGTTGGTCAACTGGCATTCAAGGTCCTTCTCACATATCTGGGGAAATAATCAAATGGTCAACTGGCTTTCAAGGTCCTTCTCACATATCTGGGGAAATAATCAAATGGTCAACTGGCATTCAAGGTCCTTCTCACATATCTAGGGATATAATCAAATGGTTGTTGCAACGGCCTTGTCACAATTCTGAACAAACATTCAACAGAAAAGAAAGATTGTACTTGGATGTGGCAAAACGTGGTGTTGAAAAATAGACCATGGATTCTAGACTAAATGACCTAATATTCTAGACTAGATGAACTATTATTCTAGACTAGATGACCTTAGATTCTAGACTAAATGACCTAATATTCTAGACTAAATGACCTAATATTCTAGACTAGATGACCTTAGATTCTATACTAAATGACCTAATATTCTAGACTAGATGACCTAATATTCTAGACTAGATGACCTTAGATTTTAGACTAAATGACCTAATATTCTAGACTAGATGACCTAATATTCTAGACTAGATGACATTAGATTCTAGACTAAATGACCTAATATTCTAGACTAGATGACCTAATATTCTAGACTAGATGACCTTATATTCTATACTAAATGACCTAATATTCTAGACTAGATGACCCTAGATTCTACACGAAATGACCTTAGATTCCACACGAAATTACCTAATATTCTAGACTAGATGACCTAATATTCTAGACAAAATGACCTATTATTCTGGACTAAATGACCTTAGACTCTATGTCTTTACTCAGTATGTCAATAGATGAGCATATTACTTTACTCAGTATGTCAATAGATGAGCATATTACTTTACTCAGTATGTCAATAGATGAGCATATTTCTTTACTCAGTATGTCATTATATGAGCATATTACCTTACCTTACTAAGTTTGACGTCCAAGTGACTGGTCAACCTGTGGATTTGGTGCTTGAAAAACTCCCTGACAGTTGCCACCGGCAGCAGACGCAGCATGGGCAAGCAGACTCTTTCAACAGCTGCTCTACGTACATCAGGAGGGTAGGATTCTTCTTTGGTGAAAATACTCAGTGGCACGTCTAGGGCTGGGCTATGGGCATCTGGTGGGAGTCTGGTGGAGCAAAAGTTTTTTAATTAAAATATAATACCATGCTGTATGGTAAACTACTGCTTACAATCATTCCTGAATAAGATAATTACTACAAAACAATCAAAATCCCAAACACAGACCTCTCACTATTGTAAAAATCTGTTGATGGCCATCTGGACAACATGTTGACCACTGATGGCCATCTGGACAACATGTTGACCACTGATGGCCATCTGGACAACATGTTGACCACTGATGGCCATCTGGACATCATGTTGACCACTGATGGCCATCTGGACAACATGGTTGACCACTGATGGCCATCTGGACAACATGTTGACCACTGATGGCCATCTGGATAACATGTTGACCACTGATGGCCATCTGGACAACATGTTGACCACTGATAGCCAACTGGACAACATGTTGACCACTAATGGCCATCTGGACAACATGTTGACCACTAATGGCCATCTGGACAACATGTTGACCACTGATGGCCATCTGGACAACATGTTGAGCACTGATGGCCAACTGGACACCATGTTGACCACTCACCTTTGTACAAATCTGTTGATGGCCAACTGGATAGCATCTTCATGCATGTGATGTTGCTCTCTACAGAAGACGCTGATCAAAATCTCCAGCAGCATCAAACTGCCAGTCAATTCCAGGGCATTCAGGATCTTAAACAAACAACCAGTTTACATAAGTAGACCATAACAACACCAGGGCATTCAGGATCTTTAACAAACAACCAGTTTACATACATAGACCATAACAACACCAGGGCATTCAGGATCTTTAACAAACAACCAGTTTACATAAGTAGACCATAACAACACCAGGGCATTCAGGATCTTTAACAAACAACCAGTTTACATACATAGACCATAACAACACCAGGGCATTCAGGATCTTTAACAAACAACCAGTTTACATACATAGACCATAACAACATAACCAATTCATTAGACCATAACAACATAACCAATTCATTAGACCATAACAACATAAGCAATTTATTAGACCATAACAACATAACCAATTCATTAGACCATAACAACATAAGCAATTCATTAGACCATAACAACATAACCAATTCATTAGACCATAACATAACCAATTCATTAGACCATAACAACATAACCAATTCATTAGACCATAACATAACCAATTCATTAGACCAGGGGTCTCCAAACTACGGCCTGCGGGCCGGGTGCGGCCCACGAGGTCCTCTCATCCGGCCCGCGGAGATCTTTTTGTCCACGGAAAAAAAGTTTGTTGGTGATGGCTGAGGAACTTTGCCCAGAAAAATCAAAGACATGCCTGGAAGAAACTGGCCCCCGAACTGAAATTTTATAGTTAATGCGGCCCTCGGACTGAAAAGTTTGGAGACCCCTGCATTAGACCATAACAACATACCATATCTATTGATGCAATGTAATCTTTCAGGTTGGAGGTACCAGATGGAAACTCAGAACTCTTCAGAGGAAAATTATCAGCTATGAACCTGTTCAGTGCATCTCTGAAAGTCAAAGATTTTTTAAAATTATAACTTTAACGGGATGAATTCCTATAAAACTTTTTCTACAAAAAGCAACAATATATTGAATTTATAATTAAACTTAATTACGAATAATTCAACTGTTTAAAAAAATGAATGCTAGTTAAATATTGGATGAAGAGCTAATCAGAAGGTGAGACTTACCTGAGATCTTCCTCATGTACACCTGTCAGGGTCGCAAAGAAGGGAAGTAGTCGTAACACCTGCGTCTGGGGACAAAAGTTGACAGAATATTGTTTACTTATTGCTGCAGCAAGTAATAGCTGACCATGTACGGCTGCAGCAAGTAATAGCTGACCATGTATGGCTGCAGTTATAGCTGACCATGTATGGCTGCAGCAATAGCTGACCATGTACGGCTGCAGCAAGTAATAGCTGACCATGTATGGCTGCAGCAAGTAATAGCTGACCATGTATGGCTGCAGCAATAGCTGACCATGTATGGCTGCAGCAAGTAATAGCTGACCATGTATGGCTGCAGTTATAGCTGACCATGTATGGCTGCAGCAAGTAATAGCTGACCATGTATGGCTGCAGCAAGTAATAGCTGACCATGTATGGCTGCAGCAATAGCTGACCATGTATGGCTGCAGCAAGTAATAGCTGACCATGTATGGCTGCAGTTATAGCTGACCATGTACGGCTGCAGCAAGTAATAGCTGACCATGTATGGCTGCAGTTATAGCTGACCATGTATGGCTGCAGTTATAGCTGACCATGTATGGCTGCAGTTATAGCTGACCATGTATGGCTGCAGTTATAGCTGACCATGTATGGCTGCAGCATCAGCTGACCATGTATGGCTGCAGCATCAGCTGACCATGTATGGCTGCAGTAAGTAATAGCTGACCATCCACTGACCATGTATGGCTGCAGTTATAGCTGACCATGTATGGCTGCAGCAGGCAGAGACCAAGATTGGGTGTCCTTACCTTGAAGTTCATGGTTGTGCTTGTGTCTTTCAACATGGACTGGTACATCCCAAACAAGATGGGGAAACTTTCGTTGCTGGTGTCTGTGGCACACTAGAGAGAAGTAGTGAGAACATTTGACACTGTGAGGGATGGCAGCAATCATAACACTGGCTGTGTACTAGCCTGTCTCTTATGGTTACCTCACAGTCCATCAAATAGAGTTGTCTATCAGAAGTTAAATTTACCCTGCTTTGACCACAGGGGCTTTGACCATAGGTGCTTTGACCATAGGGTGTTTGACCATAGGGGGTTTGACCATAGGGTGTTTGACCATAGGGGGTTTGACCACAACGGGGCTTTGACCACAGAGGGGGGTTGACCATAATATATAGATTTTAAAATATAAATCATAAACTATTATTTGATTTAAATTTATGATACAATTAATACGATTTTACACATGTTTCCTGAGAGTACGTTAATAGAAAATAACATGTATTTAAATAAACCGGGTGTGATCTCCCCTAAACTTTCTCGAATAACTTGGAATATAGACATGATTTTTAATTACTTAAACTTTTAAAAATAGAATAGAATCTCATAGAAAAAAGAATTACGCACCAAGCGAACGCCAAAACAAAATGTGCATAATAGTGCGCAATATTATTAGTTCTTTATAAATTTACATGCATTTTTTGAGAAATCGGAAATAGCATAAACTACTACTTTCGGTCAACGGAAATGACTCAAAATTTGACAGAAGGTAGAGAATTAGATCTTTTACTTACATGTGAAATTTCATTTATCTATCTGAAATAGTACTCAAGTTATAGGCTTTTGAAAAATTCAAAGTAGGAAAAGTACCACTTCCGGTTATCGGAAATCGCTCAACAGTTGATACGGATCTACGATTTTGATAAAATACTTATATATGAAATTTCATCAACCTAGCTGTAACGGTACTCAAGTTATTGTGTTTACACACAGACAGACATACGGACAAGATTGCAAAATTATGTTTTTCCGTATCAGTGAGTTGTAAAACGTCGTGATTTGTAAAAATCTCGATTTTTTTTTTTTTTTGCACGATTACAAGACTTTCTCTATACTTCGTATATACGAGAAAGTAAAAAGTCAAGCACGATATTTTAGTCTCCACATAAAGGCTGGTGCTAGGCCTCATGGATTTATTTTAAATTTAAATGGAACACAAATAATGCGACATATAACAGATTTCACAAATAAATAATGTAGATGTACTTGAAAATACTTTGCATATATAAAGGATAAAAAAGGATTTAAAAAACATGCCAACAGTATAGTCAAAGAGTTGTTTAGATGACTTTAATTATACATTATGATTTAATATTTTATTACATCCAGTCGCAAATTAAAATTTAATATAGCAACTTTTAAAATAAATCCTTATCATATATGGAAAACGTGCTTGTTATCAAATGCCAGCATTGGACAAAACACCTGAGATCAAAGACCCTATGTGGACAAATTACTTGTGATCAAAGCAGGACACAGCGATTGTGATCAAACCGCCTGTGATCTAAGACCCTCAACTGAGAAAACACCTGTGGTCAAACCCCCTATGATCAAACCCCCTATGGTCAAAGCACCTGTGGTCAAAGGTCAGCACACCCCTGCTGCCTATCAGAAGTTAAAATTACCGTGCTGCCTATCAGAAGTTAAAATTACCGTGCTGCCTATCAGAAGTTAAAATTACCGTGCTGCCTATCAGAAGTTAAAATTACCGTGCTGCCTATCAGAAGTTAAAATTACCGTGCTGCCTATCAGAAGTTAAAATTACCGTGCTGCCTATCAGAAGTTAAAATTACCGTGCTGTCTATCAGAAGTTAAAATTACCCTGCTGCCTATCAGAAGTTAAAATTACCGTGCTGTCTATCAGAAGTTAAAATTACCGTGCTGCCTATCAGAAGTTAAAATTACCCTGCTGCCTATCAGAAGTTAAAATTACCGTGCTGTCTATCAGAAGTTAAAATTACCGTGCTGTCTATCAGAAGTTAAAATTACCCTGCTGCCTATCAGAAGTTAAAATTACCGTGCTGTCTATCAGAAGTTAAAATTACCCTGCTGCCTATCAGAAGTTAAAATTACCGTGCTGTCTATCAGAAGTTAAAATTACCGTGCTGTCTATCAGAAGTTAAAATTGCCCTGCTGCCTATCAGAAGTTAAAATTACCGTGCTGTCTATCAGAAGTTAAAATTACCCTGCTGCCTATCAGAAGTTAAAATTACCCTGCTGCCTATCAGAAGTTAAAATTACCGTGCTGCCTATCAGAAGTTAAAATTACCCTGCTGCCTATCAGAAGTTAAAATTACCCTGCTGCCTATCAGAAGTTAAAATTACCCTGCTGCCTATCAGAAGTTAAAATTACCGTGCTGCCTATCAGAAGTTAAAATTACCCTGCTGCCTATCAGAAGTTAAAATTACCCTGCTCTCTATCAGAAGTTAAAATTACCGTGCTGCCTATCAGAAGTTAAAATTACCGTGCTGCCTATCAGAAGTTAAAATTACCCTGCTGCCTATCAGAAGTTAAAATTACCGTGCTGCCTATCAGAAGTTAAAATTACCGTGCTGCCTATCAGAAGTTAAAATTACCATGCTGCCTATCAGAAGTTAAAATTACCGTGCTGCCTATCAGAAGTTAAAATTATCATGCTGCCTATCAGAAGTTAAAATTAACGTGCTGCCTATCAGAAGTTAAAATTACCCTGCTGCCTATCAGAAGTTAAAATTACCGTGCTGCCTATCAGAAGTTAAAATTACCGTGCTGCCTATCAGAAGTTAAAATTACCGTGCTGCCTATCAGAAGTTAAAATTACCCTGCTGTCTATCAGAAGTTAAAATTACCGTGCTGCCTATCAGAAGTTAAAATTACCCTGCTGCCTATCAGAAGTTAAAATTACCGTGCTGCCTATCAGAAGTTAAAATTACCGTGCTGCCTATCAGAAGTTAAAATTACCGTGCTGCCTATCAGAAGTTAAAATTACCCTGCTGTCTATCAGAAGTTAAAATTACCGTGCTGCCTATCAGAAGTTAAAATTACCCTGCTGCCTATCAGAAGTTAAAATTACCGTGCTGCCTATCAGAAGTTAAAATTACTGTGCTGCCTATCAGAAGTTAAAATTACCCTGCTGCCTATCAGAAGTTAAAATTACCGTGCTGCCTATCAGAAGTTAAAATTACCCTATCAGAAGTTAAAATTACCCTGCTCTCTATCAGAAGTTAAAATTACCGTGCTGTCTATCAGAAGTTAAAATTACCGTGCTGCCTATCAGAAGTTAAAATTACCCTGCTGCCTATCAGAAGTTAAAATTACCGTGCTGCCTATCAGAAGTTAAAATTACCGTGCTGCCTATCAGAAGTTAAAATTACCGTGCTGCCTATCAGAAGTTAAAATTACCCTGCTGTCTATCAGAAGTTAAAATTACCGTGCTGCCTATCAGAAGTTAAAATTACCGTGCTGCCTATCAGAAGTTAAAATTACCGTGCTGCCTATCAGAAGTTAAAATTACCGTGCTGTCTATCAGAAGTTAAAATTACCGTGCTGCCTATCAGAAGTTAAAATTACCCTATCAGAAGTTAAAATTACCCTGCTGTCTATCAGAAGTTAAAATTACCCTGCTGTCTATCAGAAGTTAAAATTACCCTGCTGCCTATCAGAAGTTAAAATTACCCTGCTGCCTATCAGAAGTTAAAATTACCGTGCTGCCTATCAGAAGTTAAAATTACCCTGCTGCCTATCAGAAGTTAAAATTACCGTGCTGCCTATCAGAAGTTAAAATTACCGTGCTGCCTATCAGAAGTTAAAATTACCGTGCTGCCTATCAGAAGTTAAAATTACCCTGCTGCCTATCAGAAGTTAAAATTACCCTGCTGCCTATCAGAAGTTAACATTACCGTGCTGCCTATCAGAAGTTAAAATTACCCTGCTGTCTATCAGAAGTTAAAATTACCGTGCTGCCTATCAGAAGTTAAAATTACCCTATCAGAAGTTAAAATTACCCTGCTGTCTATCAGAAGTTAAAATTACCCTGCTGTCTATCAGAAGTTAAAATTACCCTGCTGTCTATCAGAAGTTAAAATTACCCTGCTGTCTATCAGAAGTTAAAATTACCCTGCTGCCTATCAGAAGTTAAAATTACCGTGCTGCCTATCAGAAGTTAAAATTACCCTGCTGCCTATCAGAAGTTAAAATTACCGTGCTGTCTATCAGAAGTTAAAATTACCGTGCTGCCTATCAGAAGTTAAAATTACCCTGCTGTCTATCAGAAGTTAAAATTACCCTGCTGTCTATCAGAAGTTAAAATTACCCTGCTGTCTATCAGAAGTTAAAATTACCCTGCTGCCTATCAGAAGTTAAAATTACCGTGCTGCCTATCAGAAGTTAAAATTACCCTGCTGCCTATCAGAAGTTAAAATTACCGTGCTGCCTATCAGAAGTTAAAATTACCCTGCTGCCTATCAGAAGTTAAAATTACCCTGCTGCCTATCAGAAGTTAAAATTACCGTGCTGCCTATCAGAAGTTAAAATTACCCTGCTGCCTATCAGAAGTTAAAATTACCCTGCTGCCTATCAGAAGTTAAAATTACCGTGCTGTCTATCAGAAGTTAAAATTACCCTGCTGCCTATCAGAAGTTAAAATTACCGTGCTGCCTATCAGAAGTTAAAATTACCGTGCTGCCTATCAGAAGTTAAATTTACCCTATCAGAAGTTAAAATTACCCTGCTCTCTATCAGAAGTTAAAATTACCGTGCTGTCTATCAGAAGTTAAAATAACCGTGCTGTCTATCAGAAGTTAAAATTACCCTGCTGTCTATCAGAAGTTAAAATAACCGTGCTGTCTATCAGAAGTTAAAATTACCCTGCTGTCTATCAGAAGTTAAAATTACCGTGCTGTCTATGAGAAGAAGTTTTGTCAGCACTAATAGACTGAGGCTCTTTGAATCAGATGTGGCCCCTTGGTCCCACCAGCTCTGCAGGTAACTCCAGTTGTTCAGCACAGTTTGACACAAGCTCATGCCCTCCCTTTACAAGAAACAAATGGTTAATGTTTTACATCACATGTTAGTGTTGTTTTAAGTAGAGCTAGGTGCTTTTTGTCCTTATGAAAAGTGATGTTTCACTCCTACCTTTTGTCCTTATCAAATGTGATGTTTGTTTACAAACAACAAACCTTTTCCTGAGGCCTCTATCTTTAGCAACGTGCTCCAGACACGCCACCAACACCACCCCCACAGAGCCGGGGTCCCCGCCAGCAGCTGACATCAGAGTCTTCACAACACCTGTACCTGACCTCACAAGGTGAGCTGCAATAGTGGACTTCATCACAGAGAAGAAGTGCTCACCACGACCTACATTCACCCCTGCTGAGATCCCCTGGACTTTGGTTTTGTCCAGCAGCTTGACCACCAAGTCTTCAGGCTGGCCAGACAACAAAAGACATTGGTCAATACAACTTTTAACAAAAGACATTGGTCAATACAACTTTTAACACAAGACATTGGTCAATACAACTTTTAACAAAAGACATTGGTCAATACAACTTTTAACAAAAGACATTGGTCAATACAACTTTTAACAAAAGACATTGATTGGTCAATACAACTTTTAACAAAAGACATTGGTCAATACAACTTTTAACAAAAGACATTGATCAATACAACTTTTAACAAAAGACATTGGTCAATACAACTTTTAACAAAAGACATTGGTCAATACAACTTTTAACAAAAGACATTGGTCAATACAACTTTTAACTAAAGACATTGGTCAATACAACTTTTAACAAAAGACATTGGTCAATACAACTTTTAACAGAAGACATTGGTCAATACAACTTTTAACAGAAGACATTGGTCAATACAACTTTTAACAAAAGACATTGGTCAATACAACTTTTAACTAAAGACATTGGTCAATACAACTTTTAACAAAAGACATTGATTGGTCAATACAACTTTTAACAAAAGACATTGGTCAATACAACTTTTAACAAAAGACATTGGTCAATACAACTTTTAACAAAAGACATTGGTCAATACAACTTTTAACAAAAGACATTGGTCAATACAACTTTTAACAAAAGAAATTGGTCAATACAACTTTTAACAAAAGACATTGGTCAATACAACTTTTAACAAAAGACATTGATCAATACAACTTTTAACAAAAGACATTGGTCAATACAACTTTTAACAAAAGACATTGGTCAATACAACTTTTAACACTAGACATTGGTCAATACAACTTTTAACAAAAGACATTGGTCAATACAACTTTTAACTAAAGACATTGGTCAATACAACTTTTAACACAAGACATTGGTCAATACAACTTTTAACAGAAGACATTGATCAATACAACTTTTAACAAAAGACATTGGTCAATACAACTTTTAACAAAAGACATTGGTCAATACAACTTTTAACAGAAGACATTGGTCAATACAACTTTTAACAAAAGACATTGGTCAATACAACTTTTAACAAAAGACATTGGTCATTGGTCAATACAACTTTTAACAAAAGACATTGGTCAGTACAACTTTTAACAAAAGACATTGGTCAATACAACTTTTAACAAAAGACATTGGTCAATACAACTTTTAACAAAAGACATTGGTCAATACAACTTTTAACAAAAGACATTGGTCAATACAACTTTTAACTAAAGACATTGGTCAATACAACTTTTAACAAAAGACATTGATTGGTCAATACAACTTTTAACAAAAGACATTGGTCAATACAACTTTTAACAAAAGACATTGGTCAATACAACTTTTAACAAAAGACATTGGTCAATACAACTTTTAACAAAAGACATTGGTCAATACAACTTTTAACAAAAGAAATTGGTCAATACAACTTTTAACAAAAGACATTGGTCAATACAACTTTTAACAAAAGACATTGATCAATACAACTTTTAACAAAAGACATTGGTCAATACAACTTTTAACAAAAGACATTGGTCAATACAACTTTTAACACTAGACATTGGTCAATACAACTTTTAACAAAAGACATTGGTCAATACAACTTTTAACTAAAGACATTGGTCAATACAACTTTTAACACAAGACATTGGTCAATACAACTTTTAACAGAAGACATTGATCAATACAACTTTTAACAAAAGACATTGGTCAATACAACTTTTAACAAAAGACATTGGTCAATACAACTTTTAACAGAAGACATTGGTCAATACAACTTTTAACAAAAGACATTGGTCAATACAACTTTTAACAAAAGACATTGGTCATTGGTCAATATAACTTTTAACAAAAGACATTGGTCAGTACAACTTTTAACAAAAGACATTGGTCAATACAACTTTTAACAAAAGACATTGGTCAATACAACTTTTAACAAAAGACATTGGTCAATACAACTTTTAACTAAAGACATTGGTCAATACAACTTTTAACACAAGACATTGGTCAATACAACTTTTAACAGAAGACATTGATCAATACAACTTTTAACAAAAGACATTGGTCAATACAACTTTTAACAAAAGACATTGGTCAATACAACTTTTAACAGAAGACATTGGTCAATACAACTTTTAACAAAAGACATTGGTCAATACAACTTTTAACAAAAGACATTGGTCAATACAACTTTTAACTTTTCCTCTGGGAACAGGCCAACAACACAGGGCCAACAACACAGGGCCAACAACACAGGGCCAACAACACAGGGCCAACAACACAGAACCAACAACACAGAACCAACTTGTACCCATGGAGCTGGCCAACAACACAGGGCCAACAACACAGGGCCAACAACACAGGGCCAACAACACAGAGCCAACAACACAGGGCCAACAACACAGGGCCAACAACACAGGGCCAACAACACAGAACCAACAACACAGAACCAACTTGTACCCATGGAGCTGGCCAACAACACAGGGCCAACAACACAGGGCCAACAACACAGGGCCAACAACACAGGGCCAACAACACAGGGCCAACAACACAGAGCCAACAACACAGGGCCAACAACACAGGGCCAACAACACAGGGCCAACAACACAGGGCCAACAACACAGGGCCAACAACACAGGGCCAACAACACAGGGCCAACAACACAGGGCCAACAACACAGGGCCAACAACACAGGGCCAACAACACAGAACCAACTTGTACCCATGGAGCTGGCCAACAACACAGGGCCAACAACACAGGGCCAACAACACAGGGCCAACAACACAGGGCCAACAACACAGGGCCAACTTGTACTTACAGCCACACCCAGCTGCAGTGCCAGTGAGAGCAGGGAGTGGGCCAGCTTGAGGGCGGGTGGACTCAGGCTGGTACATCTCAGATCTTCACCCTCTGCAGTCACACCCTAGACAAGACATTTTTTTTTTAATTTTAACATTTGCATCCAGCTTTCTGTTCAACTGACCTTAAGACATGATCATCTGACCTTAAGATACGATCAAAGTGCTATGGCAAACTGTGTCATGTTAACTCATGAAGACCAGAATGAATTTTTTGCACATTTTACCGTAATTATTAGTATCTGTGCCGCCAATTAAGAAAGATAATTACTTAGTTTTAAAGCAGAATAAAAAGAGGTGATCTTTTTAGGGAGAATAAAATGCTTCTGTGGGGAAAATTAATATTTTTTTAAAGTTTTTATTCATGACAATTGAAAATACATCTTTTTTTTTCTATAAAATCATGGATCGGATTTGTATTAATAAAAATACTTTGATTTTGTTTAATTTTTTAACACAGATATAAACCTTAAGACGCAGACACTGAATGGTGTTCTTCAGTGTTTAAAAGTGCCGTTGTGCAAGTGGTTTTACAAAACAAATTCTATAAAATACATAATCAACCCATCAAGAAAAACTAGGAAGTTAATTAGGAAAAATGACCGCTCTAGCGATATCATGAACTAGATTTACAATTTTAAAAATTGATTTGGAAAAATGATTTAGATAGCCGTTAAGGAGTTGAACTGACCTCAAAGACATTATCAAAGAGTGCCTTGGAAAACTTTGATGTGTTTGCCCCACAACGCAAGTGGTCAGTGAGAAGTCTGGCACTGTCCAGCTGTTTGTAGCCCTCCACCATCTGCTGCAGCATCACATGGTCAGTCTCAGGAGAGGTCAAGCTGATTGGTAGCAATTTCTCCAGGTCACTGAGGATACATTGATTTATTGGGTCAGCAAGGTTAGTGGGTCAGTATGTCAGCAAGGTTAGTGGGTCAGTAGGTCAGCAAGGTTAGTGGGTCAGTATGGCAGCAAGGTTAGTGGGTCTGTAGGTCAGCAAGGTTAGTGGGTCAGCAAGGTTAGTGGGTCAGTAGGTCAGTGGGTCATAAGGTCAGCAAAGTTAGTGGGTCAGTATGTCAAGGCCAGTAGGTCAGGTAGGTTAGTGGGTCACCTGTAAATAATGTTACAAAGTTAAGTGAGTCATCATATAAAAAAGGGACAGGTGCAGATAGAACTCCAAATGGTCAATTGACCTTACAGTGTAGCAGACAACATAAATACATGAAGGCTCCCTACCAGTCCCCCGCCAGTTGTCTTGTCAAACACATTTTCATCTGCTCACGTTCTGTTACTGGCAAATGTTTCTTCAGCAACTCTAACACCTGGCTCATCTAAGATACAAAAGTAACATTGTACGGCCATGACATCAACTATACTGTTGTCATGTAAACAAAACCTCCCTAACATGACTGCTTACCTCAGATGGTAACTTGAGCATGACCTCTGTGTCAGCCATGTTGAAGCCTACAACACATGACTGCTTACCTCAGATGGTAACTTGAGCATGACCTCTGTGTCAGCCATGTTGAAGCCTACAGCACATGACTGCTTACCTCAGATGGCAACTTGCACATGACCTCTGTGTCAGCCATGTTGAAGCCTACAACACATGACTGCTTACCTCAGATGGTAACTTGAGCATGACCTCTGTGTCAGCCATGTTGAAGCCTACAGCACATGACTGCTTACCTCAGATGGTAACTTGAGCATGACCTCTGTGTCAGCCATGTTGAAGCCTACAGCGCTGGGCTTGACTACACAGTCACACACAAGTCTCCAGAGGTTCTCACACCACACCTGGGCTGGTACAATCTGGTACAGACACAAGCAATGGCTGCAACTTTTATCTCAACCAAACTCATGAGTCAAATGTGACACCAACTGGTCTTTTAGGACTGACTAAACTCATGAGTCAAATGTGACTGACTAAACTCATGAGTCAAATGTGACTGACTAAACTCATGAGTCAAATGTGACACTAACTGATCTTTTAAGACTGACTAAACTCATGAGTCAAATGTGACACTAACTGATCTTTTAAGACTGACTAAACTCATGAGTCAAATGTGACGGACTAAACTCATGAGTCAAATGTGACACTAACTGATCTTTTAAGACTGACTAAACTCATGAGTCAAATGTGACGGACTAAACTCATGAGTCAAATGTGACACTAACTGGTCTTTTAAGACTGACTAAACTCATGAGTCAAATGTGACTGACTAAACTCATGAGTCAAATGTGACACTAACTGATCTTTTAAGACTGACTAAACTCATGAGTCAAATGTGACACTAACTGATCTTTTAAGACTGACTAAACTCATGAGTCAAATGTGACTGACTAAACTCATGAGTCAAATGTGACACTAACTGATCTTTTAAGACTGACTAAACTCATAAGTCAAATGTGACACTTACTGGTCTTTTAAGACTGACTAAACTCATGAGTCAAATGTGACTGACCTAACTCATGAGTCAAATGTGACTGACCTAACTCATGTGTCAAATGTAACACTGTTAGAATGGTCTTTTAGGATTGACCTAACATATCAATTAAACATTACCTTAGGTTCTTTCAACAACAAGACATTCAGAAAATTCCAAACTCTGATAACAACTGTACACTTTAACCTGCAAGAAAAGTTGGTCAAAATGTTGTAGTCCTGATGTCACCAACAAATTTAAGCTGTTAATGAAATGACACCTGCTATATTCCTGATGTAGAAACATGTACTTAAGATGTTAATGAAATGACACCTGTTATATTCCTGATGTAGATAAGAAACATGTACGTAAGCTGTTAATGAAATGACACCTGTTATATTCCTGATGTAGATACATGTACTTAAGATGTTAATGAAATGACACCTGTTATATTCCTGATGTAGATACATGTACTTAAGCTGATAATGAAATGAGACCTGTTATATTCCTCCTTCTCCCATGGTGTGAAGACCGTAGGGTGTTTCCATGGAAACAGTTTGGCAGCATCCCCAATGGAGGAAAAGGCTAACTTTTCCAAGAAGTAATTCAGACTTTCAAACAGACAACTGCGGTCTGAGCCTTGCCCTGACAGGAATACAACTTTTAAATTATGTCAAGACAAAAAATGCTGCACCATTGTTGTATTTATTCTATACAGGATGTGGTTTTTTTAATTTCTAATTAGCAGTGGTGTTTGACATGAGGCCAACATCCAATTAATTACTGATAACTATCTGCAAGATACAAATTAATTACCAGCATGTGAGGGTACCACTTTAATTAATTACCATCAATTATCTGATAAACAAACCATAACAAATCTTACCATCAAATATCTGATAAACAAACCAGAACAAATCTTACCATCAAATATCTGATAAACAAACCATAACAAATCTTACCATCAAATATCTGATAAACAAACCAGAACAAATCTTACCATCAAATATCTGTGAGGGCCCCATCAAGTTCTGACCAAACAACCAACAGTAGCAGTCCAGCGCTGCCAGAAGAAACTCAAACCACTGTCTGGCTACAGACAGACTGAACGTCTGCTCCATGTGGGTCAAGGTCGGGTATGCCTGAAGCCCATGCTTCTCACTTACTGCTTGACCTCCGCCTTCAAATCTAAAGTCATGGAACAATTTTAGTTAGGCTGACAAATCTAAAGTCATGGAACAATTTTAGTTAGGCTGACAAATCTAAAGTCATGGAACAATTTTAGTTAGGCTGACAAATCTAAAGTCATGGAACAATTTTTGTTAAAACATGTTTACATGTATGACATGTATACTGTACTTGACCCACTTATATGTATACTATACACGTTATGGGTGTATAGAACATATTGAGAGTTACTGGGCACAAAACAACGCCCTTTTTGTGTTCTGGACTAAATTAATGTATGCTTTTGTTTTAATTAAAATTTCCCTTCAAAATAATTAAAACTTGTTAATATGAAAAGTTTTAATGTCTAAAGAATTGCAATTTTACCTTAAACCAGTTATTTTACCCAGACTCAAATAATAACTAGTTAGAAAAATATAATTGAACCCAATATATTGTTGCAGCTATGTTCTAAACCACTAGGACTTTAAGTACACAAATAAAAACCATTGTAACTAAACACTCCTCTCGACACAAGTTTTGCATAAGAGATTATCTCCTACTTCTACCCAGGCTAACCTGAGAGATTATCTCTGACCTCTACCCAAGTCTTCAATGACCACAGAGCCTTACCTCTTTAGAAAATATCCTGGTCCTTCTGCTTTGAGAATAATGGCAAAGAAATCACTGGAACTTTTGACACCTGCAAGTTTGAAACACACCTGACTTAGTTTGAACTAATTTTGCCTAACAAAAGTGCTCTACAATGTTCAGGTTATGTAGGGACCTTGAAAACTGGTATGGGGACATTGAGGACCTTGAAACCTTGTATTGAGGACATTGACCCCATGCATTGAGGTGCAGACCTTGACCCAATTACTTAGGTGCAGACCTTGACCCAATTACTTAGGTGCAGACCTTGACCCAATTACTTAGGTGCAGACCATGACCCAATTACTTAGGTACAGACCTTGACCCCATGTACTGAAGACATTGACCCCATGTACTGAAGACCTTGACCCCATGTACTGAAGACCTTGACCCCGTGTACTAAAGACCTTGACCCCATGTATTTGAGTGCAAAAGATATCCCACCTGGTAAAAGTGTGCAGAGACTGTAGACGAGCTTCATGCACGCGTGCCTGCACTCAGTCTGCGTGTTCCCACACTGTCTGGTCAGCCAACGCACGGCAACATCCAGTTTCCTGCTGCTCCAGGCCCTGGAAGAATTTGATTCCTTTAGAATTTAACAGCTCAAAAATTAGCTGGCACATGAACTTTGTTTTATTTTAACTTACCTGGGTTCAGGTCGAATCTTTGGCCCCGGATCTTTCTTTAGAATCTCAACTTTTGCCTTGATGATCCGCTCAAGGTGTTCCAGAGCCCTAACACACTGCTCCTGTGTACCTGCTCAGCCAGGGAGAAAACAGGTGCTTAGGTGACAGTAGAAAACAGGTGATCAAGTGACAGTAGAAAAAAACTCAATGTTGTCAATAATTTTTTTTACTTTCAGTTTAAAACAATTAGATCTAGGCCCTAAGCAATCGTTTAACCACATTATAGTAAGCCTAGATCAGTATTTTATGTCAAAAAAATAAGACGTAGTTAGATTTTTTTTATTTAGTAAAAAGCTCAAATTAACCAAGTTAAAATTAGATATTTAAATAAAAGAGCTTGAGCTCGTGCAGCCTCTGGTTGTAGGCCTCACGGTTAGCGCGACCTTGAAAAGTGGGTGAGGTCAAAGTAATATAATGAGAACAGCGCATTTCTCGCCACTTTTTCATACTTCATAGTATTTCAAAAACGTTGCCTTTTCTTTTTGTCAATACAAAATAGAAAGAGAAACCACTAGTCTAGGTCAGCGCATTAGCTTTCCAACACTTTGTTAAAGGGCAGAGCTCTGTTAAAACAACCACGTTAGTAAAGTTTTATATAAAACACAACCTAGTAAAGTTTTATATAAAACACAACCTAGCAAAGTTTTATATAAAACACAACCTAGTAAAGTTTTATATAAAACACAACCTAGTAAAGTTTTATATAAAACACAACCTAGCAAAGTTTTATATAAAACACAACCTAGCAAAGTTTTATATAAAACACAACCTAGCAAAGTTTTATATAAAACACAACCTAGCAAAGTTTTATATAAAACACAACCTAGTAAAGTTTTATATAAAACACAACCTAGTAAAGTTTTATATAAAACACAACCTAGTAAAGTTTTATATAAAACACAACCTAGCAAAGTTTTATATAAAACACAACCTAGTAAAGTTTTATATAAAACACAACCTAGCAAAGTTTTATATAAAACACAACCTAGTAAAGTTTTATATAAAACACAACCTAGTAAAGTTTTATATAAAACACAACCTAGTAAAGTTTTATATAAAACACAACCTAGTAAAGTTTTATATAAAACACAACCTAGTAAAGTTTTATATAAAACACAACCTAGCAAAGTTTTATATAAAACACAACCTAGTAAAGTTTTATATAAAACACAACCTAGCAAAGTTTTATATAAAACACAACCTAGTAAAGTTTTATATAAAACACAACCTAGTAAAGTTTTATATAAAACACAACCTAGTAAAGTTTTATATAAAACACAACCTAGCAAAATACATATATGACATCACGTTAATCAGCAGAATTTTACCCCAACCCATATTGTCATTAGTAGCTAGACGGCAGTACAACAAAGGGCATCAAAAAGCCCACCTTTCCAATACTTTTTTTTCAGGACTGCCTGCAACTTCTGACTAGCTTTATGACATTATGAAAAAAGTGGGTAAAATCCAGAGGTACGCAGTGTTCATGTGTGATCATCCTTTCAGTAAATAACTTTTTTTAATACATAGTTGTAACAAATTTCCAGAAAAAAGTGAAAAAGTTACATCTCTAAGAGTTTTACAAAGACTTATTAACACTCTGAGTTACCTTAAGACTTATTAACACTCTGAGTTACCTTAAGACTTATTAACACTCTGAGTTACCTTAAGACTTATTAACACTCTGAGCTACCTTAAGACTTATCAACATTCTGAGTTACCTTAAAACTTATCAACATTCTGAGTTACCTTAAGACTTATCAACACTCTGAGTTACCTTAAGACTTATCAACAATCTGAGTTACCTTAAGACTTATCAACACTGAGTTACCTTAAGACTTATTATCAAACTGACTTACCTAAAGACTTATCAACATTCTGAGTTACCTTAAGACTTATAGACACTCTGAGTTACCTTAAGACTTATCAACACTCTGAGTTACCTTAAGACTTATCAAACCTGAGTTACCTTAAGACTTATCAACACTCTGAGTTACCTTAAGACTTATTATCAAACCTGAGTTACCTTAAGACTTATCAACACTCTGAGTTACCTTAAGACTTATCAACACTCTGAGTTACCTTAAGACTTATCAACATTCTGAGTTACCTTAAGACTTATCAACAATCTGAGTTACCTTAAGACTTATCAACATTCTGAGTTACCTTAAGACTTATTATCAAACTGACTTACCTAAAGACTTATCATCTCCATGAGCTATGGACAAACTCTCCACCATATGTTCAAGAACCTCAAAAGTAAACCTGTCTACAAGGGTGTCTTCTTCCCTACAAGATAAACAAAACAACATTGCTATAATAAATGTCTTTCAACCAGGATTGTACTATGTCTAATAAAACAACATTGCTATAATAAATGTCTTTCAACTAGGATTGTACTATGTCCAATAAAACAACATTGCTATAATAAATGTCTTTCAACCAGGATTGTACTATGTCTAATAAAACAACATTGCTATAGTAAATGTCTTTCAACTAGGATTGTACTATGTCTAATAAAACAACATTGCTATAGTAAATGTCTTTCAACTAGGATTGTACTATGTCTAATAAAACAACATTGCTATAATAAACGTCTTTCAACCAGGATTGTACTATGTCTAATAAAACAACATTGCTATAATAAATGTCTTTCAGTTAGGATTGTACTATGTCTAATAAAACAACATTGCTATAATAAATGTCTTTCAACCAGGATTGTACTATGTCTAATAAAACAACATTGCTATAATAAATGTCTTTCAACCAGGATTGTACTACGTCTAAAGCCTTGGTCTAGACAGGGTTAAGTGTGTACAACCAGGATTGTACTATGTCTAGAGCCTTGGTCTAGAGAGGGTTAAGTGTGTACAACCAGGATTGTACTATGTCTAGAGCCTTGGTGTAGAGAGGGTTAAGCCTGTACCTGAACACTGTGTAGATATTGTTAAAAGCCAGGGCAGCTCCAAGTCTTTTAAAAGCGTTGGGATGGAGGGAGTAGCTGTAGATCCTTTTCAACACAGACTTGGCATTGATGGGATTCTTCTCTGCTGCCTGAAACCAATTCAAACTTACTCAATGTTGGACAAATAGTTTTATTAAAGTCCTTGAATGATTTTTTTTTTCTGGTACAGCTAACATTTCTAACAATCATTAACTTCTCTGCTGTCTGAAACCAACACAGCTAACATTTCTAACAATCATTAACTTCTCTGCTGTCTGAAACCAACACAGCTAACATTTCTAGCAATCATTAACTTTTCTGCTGTCTGAAACCAATACCGCTAACATTTCTAACAATCATTAACTTTTCTACTGCCTGAAACCAATACAGCTAACATTTCTAGCAATCATTAACTTTTCTACTGCCTGAAACCAATACCGCTAACATTTCTAACAATCATTAACTTCTCTGCTGTCTGAAACCAATACCGCTAACATTTCTAACAATCATTAAAAGAACAGATTGTTTCACATGTTATAGGATGACATAACTGTAATATGCTGATGTAGCTGGGGAAAAAGCATCAATCAGGAGAATGAACCTTTTTTGAGATTTGTTTGAGCGACCACTTGAGGAATTCCTTCAGACATTTAGCACTAAAGTCTCGCAGTGCTGTGTTGCTGGCCTGGATAAGGCCATCCTGAAATAGAACAGATCATTCAATGAATCATTCAAGGGATCATTCAATGAATCATTCAAGGGATCAATCAATGAATCATTCAAGGGATCATTCAATGAATCATTCAAAGGATCATTCAAGGGATCATTCAACAGATCATTCAACAAATCATTCAAGTTAAACTGAGATGAACCATGAAGGCAGCTGTTTAAAAAATTGTAAAATCTACAGCATGAGAGACATAAGCTAATAGCAATACAAGTGTAGCAGCCAGCCAATACAAACTGTTTATGTAGCAGGTAGAATTAAACAGCAGAGAGGAAGATGGTGGAGCTCAAGGTCCTTACAAAAATGGAGTCCAAGAGTGCCATTGTCTCTGGACTTTCTGCCATCTTGTTGTTGGTGAACCAGTGGATCAGCTGCATGGTCAGGGGCTCAAACAGGTCTTTACAAACCTAGGGACAAACAGGTCTTTACAAACCTAGGGACAAACAGGTCTTTACAAACCTAGGGACAAACAGGTCTTTACAAACCTAGGGACAAACAGGTCTTTACAAACCTAGGGACAAACAGGTCTTTACAAACCTTGGGACTAACAGGTCTTTACAAACCTAGGGACAAACAGGTCTTTACAAACCTAGGGACAAACACACAGGTCTTTACAAGCTTAGGGACAAAAAGGTCTTTACAAACCTAGGGACAAACACACAGGTATTTACAAACCTAGGGACAAGCAGGTCTTTACAAACCTAGGGACAAACACACAGGTCTAAAGAATTACATTATTTAATAATAATTATCTGTACACACACTGACCATTACCTGCCCACACACTGACCATTACCTGCCCACACACTGACCATTACCTGCCCACACACTGACCATTACCTGCCCACACACTGACCATTACCTGCCCACACACTGACCATTACCTGCCCACACACTGACCATTACCTGCCCACACACTGACCATTACCTGCCCACACACTGACCATTACCCGCCCACACACTGACCATTACCTGCCCATTACATGCCCACACTGACCATTACCTGGCCACACACTGACCATTACCTGCCCACACACTGACCATTACCTGCCCACACACTGACCATTACCTGCCCACACACTGACCATTACCCGCCCACACACTGACCATTACCTGCCCATTACATGCCCACACACTGACCATTACCTGCCCACACACTGACCATTACCTGCCCACACACTGACCATTACCTGCCCACACACTGACCATTACCTGCCCACACACTGACCATTACCCGCCCACACACTGACCATTACCTGCCCATTACATGCCCACACACTGACCATTACCTGCCCACACACTGACCATTACCTGCCCACACACTGACCATTACCTGCCCACACACTGACCATTACCTGCCCACACACTGACCATTACCTGCCCACACACTGACCATTACCCGCCCACACACTGACCATTACATGCCCACACACTGACCATTACCTGGCCACACACTGACCATTACCTGCCCACACACTGACCATTACCTGCCCACACACTGACCATTACCTGCCCATTACCTGCCCACACACTGACCATTACCTGCCCACACACTGACCATTACCTGCCCACACACTGACCATTACCTGCCCACACACTGACCATTACCTGCCCACACACTGACCATTACCTGCCCACACACTGACCATTACCTGCCCACACACTGACCATTACCTGGCCACACACTGACCATTACCTGCCCACACACTGACCATTACCTGCCCACACACTGACCATTACCTGCCCACACACTGACCATTACCTGCCCACACACTGACCATTACCCGCCCACACACTGACCATTACCTGCCCATTACATGCCCACACACTGACCATTACCTGGCCACACACTGACCATTACCTGCCCACACACTGACCATTACCTGCCCACACACTGACCATTACCTGCCCATTACCTGCCCACACACTGACCATTACCTGCCCACACACTGACCATTACCTGCCCACACACTGACCATTACCTGCCCACACACTGACCATTACCTGCCCACACACTGACCATTACCTGCCCACACTGACCATTACCTGGCCACACACTGACCATTACCTGCCCACACACTGACCATTACCTGCCCACACACTGACCATTACCTGCCCACACACTGACCATTACCTGCCCACACACTGACCATTACCTGCCCACACACTGACCATTACCTGCCCACACACTGACCATTACCTGGCCACACACTGACCATTACCTGCCCACACACTGACCATTACCTGCCCACACACTGACCATTACCTGCCCACACACTGACCATTACCCGCCCACACACTGACCATTACCTGCCCATTACATGCCCACACACTGACCATTACCTGCCCACACACTGACCATTACCTGCCCACACACTGACCATTACCTGCCCACACACTGACCATTACCTGCCCACACACTGACCATTACCTGCCCACACACTGACCATTACCCGCCCACACACTGACCATTACATGCCCACACACTGACCATTACCTGGCCACACACTGACCATTACCTGCCCACACACTGACCATTACCTGCCCACACACTGACCATTACCTGCCCATTACCTGCCCACACACTGACCATTACCTGCCCACACACTGACCATTACCTGCCCACACACTGACCATTACCTGCCCACACACTGACCATTACCTGCCCACACACTGACCATTACCTGCCCACACACTGACCATTACCTGCCCACACACTGACCATTACCTGGCCACACACTGACCATTACCTGCCCACACACTGACCATTACCTGCCCACACACTGACCATTACCTGCCCACACACTGACCATTACCTGCCCACACACTGACCATTACCCGCCCACACACTGACCATTACCTGCCCATTACATGCCCACACACTGACCATTACCTGGCCACACACTGACCATTACCTGCCCACACACTGACCATTACCTGCCCACACACTGACCATTACCTGCCCATTACCTGCCCACACACTGACCATTACCTGCCCACACACTGACCATTACCTGCCCACACACTGACCATTACCTGCCCACACACTGACCATTACCTGCCCACACACTGACCATTACCTGCCCACACACTGACCATTACCTGCCCACACACTGACCATTACCTGCCCACACACTGACCATTACCTGGCCACACACTGACCATTACCTGCCCACACACTGACCATTACCTGCCCACACACTGACCATTACCTGCCCACACACTGACCATTACCTGCCCACACACTGACCATTACCTGGCCACACACTGACCATTACCTGCCCACACACTGACCATTACCTGCCCACACACTGACCATTACCTGCCCACACACTGACCATTACCTGCCCACACACTGACCATTACCTGCCCACACACTGACCATCACCTGCCCACACACTGACCATCACCTGCCCACACACTGACCATTACCTGCCCACACACTGACCATTACCTGCCCACACACTGACCATTACCTGGCCACACACTGACCATTACCTGCCCACACACTGACCATCACCTGCCCACACACTGACCATTACCTGCCCACACACTGACCATTACCTGCCCACACACTGACCATTACCTGCCCACACACTGACCATTACCTGGCCACACACTGACCATTACCTGCCCACACACTGACCATCACCTGCCCACACACTGACCATTACCTGCCCACACACTGACCATTACCTGCCCACACACTGACCATTACCTGCCCACACACTGACCATTACCTGCCCACACACTGACCATTACCTGCCCACACACTGACCATTACCTGCCCACACACTGACCATTACCTGCTCAACGTCACATGCTAGAGTCAGAAGAGCTGGAAAGAGCCTGCGATACAGCTGCTCCATTGGACTCTTTATCTGTGTTTCCCCGGGCATCTGGGCACCTCTGCCCAGGGCATACAGGACAAGGGAGTGGAGAAGTTCACAAGCTGCCACCTTGGTCTGTCTGTCACTGGCCTGCTGGGCCAGTTGTACCACATGTGGGAGGAACGGATCTGTCAACAGATGTACACAAACTTTACCACATGTGGGAGGAATGGATCTGTCAACAGATGTACACAAACTTTACCACATGTGGAGGATCTGTCTACAGATGTACACAAACTTTACCACATGTGGGAGGAACGGATCTGTCAACAGATGTACACAAACTTTACCACATGTGGAGGATCTGTCAACAGATGTACACAAACTTTACCACATGTGGGAGGAATGGATCTGTCAACAGATGTACACAAACTTTACCACATGTGGAGGATCTGTCAACAGATGTACACAAACTTTACCACATGTGGAGGATCTGTCAACAGATGTACACAAACTTTACCACATGTGGAGGATCTGTCAACAGATGTACACAAACTTTACCACATGTGGGAGGAATGGATCTGTCAACAGATGTACACAAACTTTACCACATGTGGAGGATCTGTCAACAGATGTACACAAACTTTACCACATGTGGGAGGAACGGATCTGTCAACAGATGTACACAAACTTTACCACATGTGGGAGGAATGGATCTGTCAACAGATGTACACAAACTTTACCACATGTGGGAGGAATGGATCTGTCAACAGATGTACACAAACTTTACCACATGTGGGAGGAATGGATCTGTCAACAGATGTACACAAACTTTACCACATGTGGGAGGAACGGATCTGTCAACAGATGTACACAAACTTTACCACATGTGGAGGATCTGTCAACAGATGTACACAAACTTTACCACATGTGGAGGATCTGTCAACAGATGTACACAAACTTTACCACATGTGGGAGGAATGGATCTGTCAACAGATGTACACAAACTTTACCACATGTGGAGGATCTGTCAACAGATGTACACAAACTTTACCACATGTGGAAGGAACAGATCTGTCAACAGATGTACACAAACTTTACCACATGTGGAGGATCTGTCAACAGATGTACACAAACTTTACCACATGTGGGGGATCTGTCAACAGATGTACACAAACTTTACCACATGTGCGGGATCTGTCAACAGATGTACACAAACTTTACCACATGTCAACTAGCCTGAGGATTATCTAAATCCCAGCATGTGGTGAATGACTCACCAAAATAAATGACGGGCTTCATGTCATAGAATGGTACAGCAAACTTGAGGTGTTTCTGGGTGTCCCAGGCGATGGCCTCCTTGCTCATGTCTTCCTCAGCTTTGGCCAACAAGGCGTGGTTTATCTGGCCACCAAGTGATCCCAAATAACGCAGAATCCGAAGTTTTACTTTAGTCAACTGACTTTCAGAGCCCTGTACAAAATAAGCAACAGGTGGATGTAACCAATGTATTTAGTGGATGTAACCAATGTATTTAGTGGATGTAACCAATGTATTTAGTGGATGTAACCAATGTATTTAGTGGATGTAACCAATGTATTTAGTGGATGTAACCAATGTATTTAGTGGATGTAACCAATGTATTTAGTGGATGTAACCAATGTATTTAATATGATAGCCAAGCCCCCAAGAAGGTCCAGCAAGTAGAGATATGATGGCCAATAGTATTGTACAACTGATTTTTTTTAAATAGAGTAATTTAATCATTCTTAATTATTCATTCACTTCTAAATTTAAATAAGATTAGGAAAAAAATAGTTAAATAGTTCATTAAAATCATTGATTACATAGCAGCTCCTGTCACACAAACTGACATGTCAGGACAATGTCAACCAGAAAATTAAACTTACAATCTCAGCAGATTTTTTCTCCTTGACAAGACGAACTGGGGCCTTGGCTTTGGCTGCAGTCTTTGACTCTATGACAACAGCAGGCTCTGTGCTAGCTTCATCAGCACCTGGGTCAACACAATATCATGTGAAATACCTGACTACAGCTGGGTCAACACAATATCATGAGAAATACCTGACTACAGCTGGGTCAACACAATATCATGTGAAATACCTGACAACACCTGGGTCAACACAATATCATGTGAAATACCTGACAACAGCTGGCTCAACACAATATCATGTGAAACACCTGACTACAGCTGGGTCAACACAATATCATGTGAAACACCTGACAACACCTGGGTCAACACAATATCATGTGAAACACCTGACTACAGCTGGGTCAACACAATATCATGAGAAACACCTGACTACACCAGGGTCAACACAATATCATGTGAAACACCTGACAACACCTGGGTCAACACAATATCATGTGAAACACCTGACTACAGCTGGGTCAACACAATATCATGAGAAACACCTGACTACACCAGGGTCAACACAATATCATGTGAAACACCTGACAACACCTGGGTCAACACAATATCATGTGAAACACCTGACTACAGCTGGGTCAACACAATATCATGTGAAACACCTGACTACAGCTGGGTCAACACAATATCATGTGAAACACCTGACTACAGCTGGGTCAACACAATATCATGTGAAACACCTGACTACACCAGGGTCAACACAATATCATGTGAAATACCTGACAACACCTGGGTCAACACAATATCATGTGAAACACCTGACTACAGCTGGGTCAACACAATATCATGTGAAACACCTGACTACAGCTGGGTCAACACAATATCATGTGAAACACCTGACTACACCAGAGTCAACACAATATCATGTGAAACACCTGACTACAGCTGGGTCAACACAATATCATGTGAAATACCTGACTACAGCTGGGTCAACACAATATCATGTGAAACACCTGACTACAGCTGGGTCAACACAATATCATGTGAAACACCTGACTACAGCTGGGTCAACACAATATCATGTGAAACACCTGACAACACCTGGGTCAACACAATATCATGTGAAACACCTGACTACAGCTGGGTCAACACAATATCATGAGAAACACCTGACTACACCAGGGTCAACACAATATCATGTGAAACACCTGACAACACCTGGGTCAACACAATATCATGTGAAACACCTGACAACACCTGGGTCAACACAATATCATGAGAAATACCTGACAACACCTGGGTCAACACAATATCATGTGAAATACCTGACTGCATTGGGAACACTACGCCATGCCTGAATGCTAACACCTGACAGCATGAGACTATTTACCTGTGTCAGCTGTCCTCAGGTAAGCATCCAGGTAAGGCAGGATCTCGTGGTAGTGAGCTCTCATCAAAGTGGGAGACAACTCTTTAGACCAGCATTCAAGGGCATCTAACCCAACATTTGCCAGGGGAAGGTAACTCAGGCCTAGGGTTAAAGTGGTCTGTTTCAAAGGCAACAAATTCCATGAGTATGTAACAAATAAAATAAACAGATACACAAATCATCATAAAGCAGAGAGCAAATAAATTAAATAGATACACAAATTATTATATAGCAGAGAGAAAATAAATTAAATAGATACACAAATTATTATATAGCAGAGAGCAAATAAATTAAATAGATACACAAATTATTGTATAGCAGCAAGTGACCTGAATAGCGGGCACCACTTGTGAAATCTGGTTGGCAATAACTTCTTTAGGCAGTGACAAGATCAAGGTCAAACATGAAGCCAAAAGTTCATCTTTGTACTGCTTCATCCTGATCAGGACCTGCAACATGGTCATCCACATACAGCACAAACCACTTTACATCTCACACAAACCTCTTTACACCATCTCACACAAACCTCTTTACATCTCACACAAACCTCTTTACATCTCACACAAACCTCTTTACATCTCACACAAACCTCTTTACATCTCACACAAACCTCTTTACATCTCACACAAACCTCTTTACATCATCTCACACAAACCTCTTTACACCACCTCACACAAACCTCTTTACATCTCACACAAACCTCTTTACATCTCACACAAACCTCTTTACACCATCTCACACAAACCTCTTTACATCTCACACAAACCTCTTTACACCATCTCACACAAACCTCTTTACACCTCACACAAACCTCTTTACACCATCTCACACAAACCTCTTTACACCACCTCACACAAACCTCTTTACACCATCTCACACAAACCTCTTTACACCACCTCACACAAACCTCTTTACATCTCACACAAACCTCTTTACATCTCACACAAACCTCTTTACACCATCTCACACAAACCTCTTTACACCATCTCACACAAACCTCTTTACACCATCTCACACAAACCTCTTTACACCATCTCACACAAACCTCTTTACACCATCTCACACAAACCTCTTTACACCATCTCACACAAACCTCTTTACACCTCACACAAACCTTTTTACACCATCTCACACAAACCTCTTTACACCATCTCACACAAACCTCTTTACACCATCTCACACAAACCTCTTTACACCATCTCACACAAACCTCTTTACACCATCTCACACAAACCTCTTTACACCACCTCACACAAACCTCTTTACACCATCTCACACAAACCTCTTTACACCTCACACAAACCTCTTTACACCATCTCACACAAACCTCTTTACACCACCTCACACAAACCTCTTTACACCACCTCACACAAACCTCTTTACACCTCACACAAACCTCTTTACATCTCACACAAACCTCTTTACACCATCTCACACAAACCTCTTTACACCACCTCACACAAACCTCTTTACACCACCTCACACAAACCTCTTTACACCATCTCACACAAACCTCTTTACACCATCTCACACAAACCTCTTTACACCATCTCACACAAACCTCTTTACACCATCTCACACAAAGCTCTTTACACCATCTCACACAAACCTCTTTACACCATCTCACACAAACCTCTTTACATCTCACACAAACCTCTTTACACCATCTCACACAAACCTCTTTACACCATCTCACACAAACCTCTTTACACCATCTCACACAAACCTCTTTACATCTCACACAAACCTCTTTACATCTCACACAAACCTCTTTACACCATCTCACACAAACCTCTTTACATCTCACACAAACCTCTTTACATCTCACACAAACCTCTTTACACCATCTCACACAAACCTCTTTACACCATCTCACACAAACCTCTTTACATCTCACACAAACCTCTTTACACCATCTCACACAAACCTCTTTACACCATCTCACACAAACCTCTTTACACCATCTCACACAAACCTCTTTACATCTCACACAAACCTCTTTACATCTCACACAAACCTCTTTACACCATCTCACACAAACCTCTTTACACCATCTCACACAAACCTCTTTACACCATCTCACACAAAGCTCTTTACACCATCTCACACAAACCTCTTTACATCTCACACAAACCTCTTTACATCTCACACAAACCTCTTTACACCATCTCACACAAACCTCTTTACACCATCTCACACAAACCTCTTTACACCATCTCACACAAACCTCTTTACATCTCACACAAACCTCTTTACATCTCACACAAACCTCTTTACACCATCTCACACAAACCTCTTTACACCATCTCACACAAACCTCTTTACACCATCTCACACAAACCTCTTTACACCATCTCACACAAACCTCTTTACATCTCACACAAACATCTTTACATCTCACACAAACCTCTTTACACCATCTCACACAAACCTTTTACATCCCACACAAATCTCTTTACATCTCACACAAACCTCTTTACACCATCTCACACAAACCTCTTTACACCATCTCACACAAACCTCTTTACATCATCTCACACAAACCTCTTTACACCATCTCACACAAACCTCTTTACACCACCTCACACAAACCTCTTTACACCACCTCACACAAACCTCTTTACATCATCTCACACAAACCTCTTTACACCATCTCACACAAACCTTTTTACACCTCACACAAACCTCTTTACACCACCTCACACAAACCTCTTTACACCATCTCACACAAACCTCTTTACACCATCTCACACAAACCTCTTTACATCTCACACAAACCTCTTTACATCTCACACAAACCTCTTTACACCTCACACAAACCTCTTTACACCATCTCACACAAACCTCTTTACACCATCTCACACAAACCTCTTTACACCATCTCACACAAACCTTTTTACACCTCACACAAACCTCTTTACACCATCTCACACAAACCTCTTTACACCATCTCACACAAACCTCTTTACACCATCTCACACAAACCTCTTTACACCACCTCACACAAACCTCTTTACAACATCTCACACAAACCTCTTTACATCTCACACAAACCTCTTTACATCTCACACAAACCTCTTTACACCATCTCACACAAACCTCTTTACACCATCTCACACAAACCTCTTTACACCATCTCACACAAACCTCTTTACACCATCTCACACAAACCTCTTTACATCTCACACAAACCTCTTTACATCTCACACAAACCTCTTTACACCATCTCACACAAACCTTTTTACATCCCACACAAATCTCTTTACATCTCACACAAACCTCTTTACATCTCACACAAACCTCTTTACACCATCTCACACAAACCTCTTTACACCACCTCACACAAACCTCTTTACACCACCTCACACAAACCTCTTTACACCTCACACAAACCTCTTTACACCACCTCACACAAACCTCTTTACACCATCTCACACAAACCTCTTTACACCATCTCACACAAACCTCTTTACACCATCTCACACAAACCTCTTTACACCTCACACAAACCTCTTTACACCATCTCACACAAACCTCTTTACACCACCTCACACAAACCTCTTTACACCTCACACAAACCTCTTTACATCTCACACAAACCTCTTTACACCATCTCACACAAACCTCTTTACACCACCTCACACAAACCTCTTTACACCACCTCACACAAACCTCTTTACACCATCTCACACAAACCTCTTTACACCATCTCACACAAACCTCTTTACACCACCTCACACAAAGCTCTTTACACCATCTCACACAAACCTCTTTACACCTCACACAAACCTCTTTACACCACCTCACACAAACCTCTTTACACCATCTCACACAAACCTCTTTACATCTCACACAAACCTCTTTACATCTCACACAAACCTCTTTACATCTCACACAAACCTCTTTACACCATCTCACACAAACCTCTTTACACCATCTCACACAAACCTCTTTACACCATCTCACACAAACCTCTTTACATCTCACACAAACCTCTTTACATCTCACACAAACCTCTTTACACCATCTCACACAAACCTCTTTACATCTCACACAAACCTCTTTACATCTCACACAAACCTCTTTACACCATCTCACACAAACCTCTTTACACCATCTCACACAAACCTCTTTACATCTCACACAAACCTCTTTACACCATCTCACACAAACCTCTTTACACCATCTCACACAAACCTCTTTACACCATCTCACACAAACCTCTTTACATCTCACACAAACCTCTTTACATCTCACACAAACCTCTTTACACCATCTCACACAAACCTCTTTACACCATCTCACACAAACCTCTTTACACCATCTCACACAAAGCTCTTTACACCATCTCACACAAACCTCTTTACATCTCACACAAACCTCTTTACATCTCACACAAACCTCTTTACACCATCTCACACAAACCTCTTTACACCATCTCACACAAACCTCTTTACACCATCTCACACAAACCTCTTTACATCTCACACAAACCTCTTTACATCTCACACAAACCTCTTTACACCATCTCACACAAACCTCTTTACACCATCTCACACAAACCTCTTTACACCATCTCACACAAACCTCTTTACACCATCTCACACAAACCTCTTTACATCTCACACAAACATCTTTACATCTCACACAAACCTCTTTACACCATCTCACACAAACCTTTTACATCCCACACAAATCTCTTTACATCTCACACAAACCTCTTTACACCATCTCACACAAACCTCTTTACACCATCTCACACAAACCTCTTTACATCATCTCACACAAACCTCTTTACACCATCTCACACAAACCTCTTTACACCTCACACAAACCTCATTACACCACCTCACACAAACCTCTTTACACCACCTCACACAAACCTCTTTACATCATCTCACACAAACCTCTTTACACCATCTCACACAAACCTTTTTACACCTCACACAAACCTCTTTACACCACCTCACACAAACCTCTTTACACCATCTCACACAAACCTCTTTACACCATCTCACACAAACCTCTTTACATCTCACACAAACCTCTTTACATCTCACACAAACCTCTTTACACCTCACACAAACCTCTTTACACCACCTCACACAAACCTCTTTACACCATCTCACACAAACCTTTTTACACCTCACACAAACCTCTTTACACCATCTCACACAAACCTCTTTACACCATCTCACACAAACCTCTTTACACCATCTCACACAAACCTCTTTACACCACCTCACACAAACCTCTTTACAACATCTCACACAAACCTCTTTACATCTCACACAAACCTCTTTACATCTCACACAAACCTCTTTACACCATCTCACACAAACCTCTTTACACCATCTCACACAAACCTCTTTACACCATCTCACACAAACCTCTTTACACCATCTCACACAAACCTCTTTACATCTCACACAAACCTCTTTACATCTCACACAAACCTCTTTACACCATCTCACACAAACCTTTTTACATCCCACACAAATCTCTTTACATCTCACACAAACCTCTTTACACCATCTCACACAAACCTCTTTACACCATCTCACACAAACCTCTTTACACCACCTCACACAAACCTCTTTACACCTCACACAAACCTCTTTACACCATCTCACACAAACCTCTTTACACCTCACACAAACCTCTTTACACCACCTCACACAAACCTCTTTACACCATCTCACACAAACCTCTTTACATCTCACACAAACCTTTTTACATCCCACACAAACCTCTTTACACCTCACACAAACCTCTTTACACCACCTCACACAAACCTCTTTACACCATCTCACACAAACCTCTTTACATCTCACACAAACCTCTTTACACCTCACACAAACCTCTTTACACCATCTCACACAAACCTCTTTACATCTCACACAAACCTCTTTACACCATCTCACACAAACCTCTTTACACCATCTCACACAAACCTCTTTACACCACCTCACACAAACCTCTTTACACCATCTCACACAAACCTTTTTACACCTCACACAAACCTCTTTACACCATCTCACACAAACCTCTTTACACCATCTCACACAAACCTCTTTACACCATCTCACACAAACCTCTTTACACCATCTCACACAAACCTCTTTACATCTCACACAAACCTCTTTACATCTCACACAAACCTCTTTACACCTCACACAAACCTCTTTACACCACCTCACACAAACCTCTTTACACCTCACACAAACCTCTTTACACCATCTCACACAAACCTCTTTACACCATCTCACACAAACCTCTTTACACCATCTCACACAAACCTCTTTACATCTCACACAAACCTCTTTACACCACCTCACACAAACCTCTTTACACCATCTCACACAAACCTCTTTACATCTCACACAAACCTCTTTACATCTCACACAAACCTCTTTTCACCATCTCACACAAACCTTTTTACATCTCACACAAACCTCTTTACACCACCTCACACAAACCTCTTTACACCTCACACAAACCTCTTTACACCATCTCACACAAACCTCTTTACATCTCACACAAACCTCTTTACATCTCACACAAACCTCTTTTCACCATCTCACACAAACCTTTTTACATCTCACACAAACCTCTTTACACCATCTCACACAAACCTCTTTACATCTCACACAAACCTCTTTACATCTCACACAAACCTCTTTACACCATCTCACACAAACCTCTTTACATCTCACACAAACCTCTTTACACCATCTCACACAAACCTTTTTACACCTCACACAAACCTCTTTACATCTCACACAAACCTCTTTTCACCACCTCACACAAACCTCTTTACACCTCACACAAACCTCTTTACATCTCACACAAACCTCTTTACACCTCACACAAACCTCTTTACATCTCACACAAACCTCTTTACATCTCACACAAACCTTTTTACACCTCACACAAACCTCTTTACACCATCTCACACAAACCTCTTTACACCACCTCACACAAACCTCTTTACACCATCTCACACAAACCTCTTTACATCTCACACAAACCTCTTTACACCATCTCACACAAACCTCTTTACACCACCTCACACAAACCTCTTTACACCACCTCACACAAACCTCTTTACACCATCTCACACAAACCTTTTTACACCTCACACAAACCTCTTTACATCTCACACAAACCTTTTTACACCTCACACAAACCTCTTTACATCTCACACAAACCTCTTTACACCATCTCACACAAACCTTTTTACACCTCACACAAACCTCTTTACACCATCTCACACAAACCTCTTTACACCACCTCACACAAACCTCTTTACACCATCTCACACAAACCTCTTTACATCTCACACAAACCTCTTTACATCTCACACAAACCTCTTTAGAAAACTTGTTGATCAGCTGGTAAGTTGCCTGTTTTTCAGACAAGTTTTCCTCACTGTGTTCATCAAGTTCCATGGCTATCACTGAATTAGTCTCAGCATTGTCTGTCTGGAAATCCTAAACAGGATAGTGGAGAGTTTCACAATTGTCATCTCATTTAAAGCAGGTTTGTTCCACAGGACATGTCAACCACAGGACATGTCAAACACAGGACATGTCAACCACAGGATATGTCAAACACAGGACATACAGGACATGTCAACCACAGGACATGTCAACCACAGGATATGTCAAACACAGGACATACAGGACATGTCAACCACAGGACATGTCAACCACAGGATATGTCAACCACAGGATATGTCAACCACAGGACATGTCAACCACAGGATATGTCAACCACAGGACATGACAACCACAGGACATGTCAACCACAGGACATGTCAACCACAGGACATGTCAACCACAGGACATGTCAACCACAGGACATGTCAACCACAGGATAAGTCAACCACAGGATATGTCAAACACAGGACATACAGGACATGTCAACCACAGGACATGTCAACCACAGGACATGACAACCACAGGACATGTCAACCACAGGACATGTCAACCACAGGATATGTCAACCACAGGACATACAGGACATGTCAACCACAGGACATGTCAACCACAGGATATGTCAACCACAGGACTTGACAACCACAGGACATGTCAAGCACAGGACATGTCAACCACAGTACATGTCAACCACAGGACATGTCAACCACAGACATGTCAACCACAGGACATGTCAACCACAGATATGTCAAGCACAGGACATGTCAACCACAGATATGTCAAGCACAGGACATGTCAAACACAGATATGTCAAGCACAGGACATGTCAACCACCGATATGTCAAGCACAGGACATGTCAACCACAGATATGTCAAGCACAGGACATGTCAACCACAGATATGTCAAGCACAGGACATCTCAAAAATCTAAAACTGAGGACTGTGACAGCTGGTCTCACCTTGAAGTACTTGAGCCTGCTGGCAATGTGTAAAGTCATAGACAGCATCTTGTAGAAGCCACTGACTAAAGGGTACCTGCCACAGTTCACACACATTAGTAGAGACAGACAGACACACTAGTAGAGACAGACGGGCACATTAGTAGAGACAGACTGACACATTAGTAGAGACAGACTGGCACATTAGTAGAGACAGACTGACACATTAGTAGAGACAGACTGACACATTAGTAGAGACAGACTGGCATATTAGTAGAGACAGACACATTAGTAGAGACAGACAAACACATTAGTAGAGACAGACTGACACATTAGTAGAGACTGGCACATTAGTAGAGACAGACACATTAGTAGAGACAGACTGGCACATTAGTAGAGACAGACTGGCACATTAGTAGAGACAGACTGGCACATTAGTAGAGACAGACAAACACATTAGTAGAGACAGACTGACACATTAGTAGAGACTGGCACATTAGTAGAGACAGACTGGCACATTAGTAGAGACAGACTGGCACATTAGTAGAGACAGACTGGCACATTAGTAGAGACTGGCACATTAGTAGAGACAGACTGGCACATTAGTAGAGACAGACTGGCACATTAGTAGAGACAGACACATTAGTAGAGACAGACTGGCACATTAGTAGAGACAGACTGGCACATTAGTAGAGACAGGCACATTAGTAGAGACAGACTGACACATTAGTAGAGACAGACTGGCACATTAGTAGAGACAGACTGGCACATTAGTAGAGACTGACTGACACATTAGTAGAGACAGACTGGCACATTAGTAGAGACTGGCACATTAGTAGAGACAGACTGACACATTAGTAGAGACTGGCACATTAGTAGAGACAGACTGGCACATTAGTAGAGACTGGCACATTAGTAGAGACTGGCACATTAGTAGAGACTGACTGACACATTAGTAGAGACAGACTGGCACATTAGTAGAGACAGACACATTAGTAGAGACAGACTGGCACATTAGTAGAGACAGACTGGCACATTAGTAGAGACAGACTGGCACATTAGTAGAGACAGACTGGCACATTAGTAGAGACTGACTGACAGATTAGTAGAGACAGACACATTAGTAGAGACAGACTGGCACATTAGTAGAGACAGACTGGCACATTAGTAGAGACAGACTGGCACATTAGTAGAGACTGGCACATTAGTAGAGACAGACTGGCACATTAGTAGAGACAGACTGGCACATTAGTAGAGACAGACTGACACATTAGTAGAGACAGACTGGCACATTAGTAGAGACAGACTGGCACATTAGTAGAGACAGACTGGCACATTAGTAGAGACAGACTGGCACATTAGTAGAGACAGACTGGCACATTAGTAGAGACAGACTGGCACATTAGAAGAGACAGACTGACACATTAGTAGAGACAGACTGGCACATTAGTAGAGACAGACTGGCACATTAGTAGAGACAGACTGGCACATTAGTAGAGACAGACTGACACATTAGTAGAGACAGACACATTAGTAGAGACAGACTGGCACATTAGTAGAGACAGACTGGCACATTAGTAGAGACAGACTGGCACATTAGTAGAGACAGACTGACACATTAGTAGAGACAGACACATTAGTAGAGACAGACTGGCACATTAGTAGAGACAGACTGTTATGCTTAGCTTTCCATTTCATAGTGGAACAAGGTATAACACAATTTAAAACACAGTTCAAATGTAATAATCCAATATAATTTTCAACTTCTACAGGGGAACACTGAACATGGTAAACAAAAACATTCCCTACTTCACTCGCTCTACACCACACACCGCTGACACACACAGTTCACACACTTCTTCTCTCGCTTGCACACCACTACAAGGGGAGGCCACTCTCACACACACTTTATATAAACAAATACATCACACCTCCCCCCTTAAAAAAAATAGATTTCTTCTTTTCATTTGGTGAAATCTTTTTACAGTAGTTACCCTTTCCGGGGTTATATGAAATGAGAAATGTTGAAGAAATCTATTACATGATGATAACTGAAAGCTAGAAGCTATTCCTATACTACAGCTTCGTATCTCATTCTAATTTTGGAATAGTAGGCCATCCAACTCTCTTAGGTATTGTTTTAGCCTGCGTTTCCTTTTTGGCTTCTCTCCGTCAAACCAAGAACTACCTACAAGACAGCCCTTCTAAGGTGTATCTTGCACAACTATTTAACATATACTGCAAAATTTTTAATACAATTCATCAGAACATTTAACACCGAGACAAGGCATCAGCCACGACATTGTGTAGCCCCTTTATGTGCTTAATGTCCAATTGATATTCTTGTAAAAATAAACTCCACCGGAGTAACCTCTGGTTTTTTGTGCTCATCTTGTTGAGGAATGTCAGGGGGTTGTGGTCCGTTAACACCAGGATTGGTTGAGCCGAACAACTGATATAAAAATCCCATTGCTGCAACGCCAGGATTATGCCCAAACATTCTTTTTCAACTGTTGAATAATTGGCTTGGTGCTTATTAAATCTCTTCGAGAAATAACAAATCGGATGCTCCACTTCTTCTTCGTCTAACTGGGATATGACAGCTCCGACACCGGAATCGCTGGCGTCCACAGCTATTCGGAATTGACGTTTAAAATCTGGGGTTACCAATACCGGAGAGCCAGTTAGCATGGTTTTAATCCTCACAAAGGCTTCTTCGCATTCTGGTGACCAAATAAACTTGGCGTTTTTTCTGAGAAGGTTGGTTAAGGGGGCGGCTATCACTGAAAATTGTTCACAGAATTTCCTATAATACCCTGCCATCCCCAGAAACCTCATTAACTGCTTTTTATCATTGGGAGGTGAAATAGCCTGAATAGCCTCTATCTTAGCAGCGATCGGTTTCACTTGTCCTTGTCCGACGACATGACCAAGATATTCGACTGTGGCATGGCAAAATTCACTCTTGTTCAGGTTAACTGTTAACCCGGTCTCGTCTAGTTTATTAAACAGAGCTCGTATTTGTTTCACGTGGCTCACGAAATCATTGCTGTAGACTATGATGTCATCTATGTACGCACTTGAATTTTCTAAGTCTGTGATGAGGCTATTGATGAGGCGTTGGAATGTGGCCGGAGCGTTTTTCATACCAAAGGGCATTACTTTGTACTGGTATAGTCCGTCAGGAGTAGCAAACGCAGATATTTCCTTGGCTCGATCGGATAAGGGAATCTGCCAATACCCCGACAACATGTCTATCTTGGTGACATAACGGGCATTCTTCATGCGATCTATCAAGTCATCTATCCTAGGAATTGGGAACGAATCAGCTTTAGTGACCGCATTCACTTTCCTAAAGTCGGTGCAGAACCGATAACTGCCGTCGGGTTTAGGTACTAGAACACACGGGGAACTCCAGTTACTTTTGCTATGTTCAATAATATCATTTTCCAGCATATACTTCACTTCTGTTCTCATTATCTCCAACTTGATTGGGTTTACCCTATATGGATGTTGTTTAACCGGAGATGCTGACCCAATATCTACGTCATGAGCAATGAGGTTGGTCTTGTTTGGAATGTCAGGAAATAAAGTGGCAAAATCTCTAATTACCGACGTAACAGCTTCTTGTTGGTCAGTGGAAAGATGTGAAAGTTTGGCTGGTAAATTGGACAAGATCTCTGAATTTTTTAATTTATATTGTCCTGCCTTTTCTGTAGGGATCTCATCCTCAGGATCACAAACGTTTATCATAGCGACAGTCTTCACTGGGGCTGGTTGGCTTTCTTCTCTCTTAAAATATTTCTTTAACATATTGACATGGCACAATTGTCTCTTCTTCTTCCTGTCGGGGGTCTTTATCACATAATTCAAGTCATCGTTCTTGGATTCGACCTCATATGGGCCGAAATATCTGGCTTGTAGTGTCTGACCTGGTATGGGGAGAAACACCAATACCTCATCCCCCGGTGAAAACGAACGGGCTTTCGCCCTCCTATCATACCATGTTTTCATTTTATGCTGTGATTGTTTCAAGTGAGATCGGGCCAGTTGACAGGCGTCACTTAGTTGATTCTTGAATCGAAGGACGTAATCTAGAAGACCTTCGGTTGGGGTCGAAGACATCCACATATCCTTAAGTGATTTCAGTGGACCTCGAACCGTATGGCCAAACACCAGTTCGAAAGGACTAAATCCCAGAGATTCCTGTACCGCCTCTCGGGAAGCAAACAGCAGCATGGGAATTCCTTCGTCCCAGTCTCTTTCGTTGTCATAACAGTATGTACGGATCATGTTTTTCAGTGTTTGGTGGAATCGTTCTAGGGCACCCTGAGATTCTGGATGATAAGCACTCGACATACACTGTTTTACTCCCAATTGTTTCATCACTTGTTTGAACAATCTGGCAGTAAAATTGGTTCCCTGATCGGATTGCACCTCTCTGGGTAGACCAAACACTGTAAAAAATTTGATTAACGCTTTCACAATGTTTGGCGTTTTAATTTTCCGGAGAGGAACAGCTTCTGGAAATCTGGTCGCAGCGCACATTATGGTCAACAAGTATTGATGGCCAGATTTGGTCTTGGGTAGTGGTCCTACACAGTCGATGATAATCCGACTGAAAGGTTCTTCGAAGGCCGGAACCGGATGTAGAGGAGCAGGTGGTATCGTTTGATTTGGTTTTCCAATTAATTGACACGTGTGGCATGTTCGACAATATTCGGCCACATCTTTTCTCAATTGTGGCCAAAAGAAATGTGACGCTATCCTTTGATACGTCTTTTTTACTCCTAGATGGCCTGAAAGAGGCGTATCGTGTGCCAAGGTCAAAATGTCTCTTCGGAACTTGGTCGGAACGACAATTTGATGGAGGACTCTCCACTCTTCGTCTACCGATGCCTCGGGGGGTCTCCATCTTCTCATGAGCATTCCGTCTTTCAAATAATACACACACGGGCCCGGTTCAGTCTCTTCCAACGGCTGGGCATTCTCGCGGAGTTCGGATAACTCCACATCCTTGGTCTGTTCTTCAATTAAATATTCTTTTGTGGGTTTTCCCCCTTCGTCTTGTCGTTGATATAAACTGGCGAGGAATGTATCCGCCAATTCTACCTCAGTGTCATCTCTTTTTCCAACGGAAGTCGGTTCTTGGTATGTTTTTGAACTCATGGCTCTGGTAACGGCGCCCACTGTGTTTACCTCCAAGTCATCATCTAGCGGTGTTCGTTGGTTAGAGAATGGAGTGGAATGTAGGTTGGCGAACACTTTTATGTCGACCAGGTCATTGCCCAACAACAGCGAGATGCCTTCTACTGGAAATTCAGATTGGACCCCGACAATCACAGGTCCACTGACGAGATCTGACTTGATATCGATGTGGTGGAGGGTCACACGATTTACCCCCTGTCCTATTCCATGGATCAGCGCACAATCTCCGGTCTCCGTAGATGCCGATAGGGGTAGGACTCCCTCCAGTATTAATGACTGAGCCGCACCAGTATCTCTCAGGATACGGATGGGTCGCCACTTAGTCGACTCGCCGGGTAGTGATACAAATCCTTCCGAAACAAAAGGACCAAATTCTTGCCAGGAGGTTTTCTGCATTCTGGCCATGGGTGCACTAGCTCCCCTCAGGTCTTTCTCACTGAGACTCTCGGTGTTCTCATCTGCAACTTCACTGACACATTTAAAGTTCACCTCTTTTCTTGCTGAAAGTTCAGTCTCTGTTTGTATTTTCGATAACTCTGATCGACCATCTGCTGACTGCCCAACTTTTCTGCTGGGTTTGACGGGTGTGGGCCAATAGATTCTCGTCGGATACGATGTAACACAGGCAACAACTTTACTCTCCTTTTTATCACTTCTTGAGTTAAGTCTCCAACAATCATTTCGTGTGTGCCCTTGTCTATTACAATAGGTGCACGCCTCTCGTTTTTTAACCTCACTTCTCCAAGAGGTTTGACCTCTTGGTGACATCTCTATGTCACTTTCCTTTCTTCTATCATCTAGTTCTCTGACTGATGTCATTTCGGCGAATTGATGCGTGATGAGATAGTCATCCGCCAACACTGCCGCTTTGTGCACATCATCTTCTCTTCGGTCCGCTATGTGAGTGCGGACATCTTGCCGCACGCAGCTTTGGAATTCTTCCATTAATATTAGATTTTTTAATTTTTCAAAACTGGTACCCACCTCTTTGGATGTGATCCATTTTTCTAGCAGTCGCTCTTTTTCTCTTACGAATTCTACATGTGTTTGTTCCTGTTTCTTCAAGTCGCGAAACCTTCTTCGATACGCCTCAGGCACCAATTCGTAGGCTTTCAAAATCAAGGATTTCACCAAGTGATAGTCCCTTTGTTGTTCTCGGGTCAGCGAGGTGAACACCTCAGCGGCTCTCCCCGTTAGTGCCGGTTGTATCATCATTGGCCAGCATTGTTCTGGGAAGTTATAATTGTACGCTGTTATTTCGAATTGCGTAAAATATTGGTCAATATTTTTTTCTTCAAACTTGGGGACTAATTTGGCATATTTAACTGCCTCGAAATTCTGGTTATCTTCCCTTTGTGAATTACATTCTCTCTCTAGCCTTGCCAACTGTATTTCCTTATCGGCCTCAATTTGTTTTATTTCTTTCTCTATTTCTTTTTCTTTCAGTTCTCTATCCTTCATTTCCAACTCTTTCGCTATTCTCATCCTTTCCAGTTCCCTCTGTGCATCAATTTCCATCTGTTTCAGTTTTACTTGTATCTCGTCATCTATTTTCTTTCTGACGCTGACCGTCCGCTTTCTCTCTGCCATTTTCTTTTTGTCTAGGGGTCAAAACTTGTCAAAAATCTTGTTGTTT